ATATTTTCCGATGTCTACATCTTATTTTTTTTTTTTTTTACAATAATTACTGAAGAAACAAACAAAAAAAAGAAACAAATGTGGACGACACGTCGCTGAATTAAATGTTATGGGATTTCCTTTTTGACACCTGCGAACTCAATGTAATCACTTTACACAAAATGCAAGGAGCATATAAATCAGATAGCGTCCGCTTTCCGAGGTGCCCGTAAATGGTCTACAGGAATTGCAGCCAGCCGTTGGTCCCGATCCCGTTGATCTTTCGGAAACTCTGTCGCACAATGCCACTTCTGTTTCGGACGCAGGACATGTCAGCCAGCTCTTCACGCAACATCTCGGGTGTATTCTTTTCGGAGCCGATCAAAATTCACCACGGGCACTCACTACTCATCTCCAACTCCTCAATGTACAAAACAACTCATCTTGGAGTACAGAACAACGAGCGGAACATACATAACTGCAAGAGAATCCCACGGCGAGCAGTTCCCGTACGCCGCATGTCGTCTGCTACCGGGAAGGAGAAAAAAAAAAAAAAAAAAAAAAAACCCACACGGTTGGGTGTAGCCACGTGACTTCCGCCACTCACTCTCTTCTCTCCACTTCTCCGACCTCCGTCGGGTTTCGGTTTCGGGTTCGAGCAGTTGCGTCTTTTGGCTTTATTAAAAAAATACGTTACTCTGTTGCAAAATATTAATAGGGTAGTCCTCCGACACCATAATGAAGCCCCTGGCAGAAAATGGAAAAAAAATTTTGGGGGGTGTCAGTGTCCCTTTAACCACGCCGATGAAACTAGCCGAATTGTCGTCGTCCCTCTTTCGGATCCGCAAGCCACAAATTCTGATTCGGAACGGAAAAATAGTGTGCCTAGATTTGAGAGGGTTTCCAAACGTTTGCTAGCCGCGTTTGAGTTACGAATTTCGAGAAGGTGACAAAAAGGCGAAAGCGTCGGGATCAGGCGGGATCGGGCAGGCAGGGCAGGCGTCGTCGCTCTTCCGTTTGCTCGCCTTCTTTCCATGCGACAACACAACAACTTACGACCAATCTGCGCTGGAGCCGTCTCCATGGTTTCAGTTTCGCTTGCTCCCTCTTTCAGATCAATGCTCTCTAAAACAGGATAGATAGGCGGAAAAATGGGTGCATAGCGGTAGTTGGACAGTGACTTGTGCCACCTAACCACAGGTTTTTTTTTTTCTTACCTCAGATTAATGTAAACGACTTAATTTTCGCAAGCTCAAATTTTTGCGAATCGCGCCAAAGCTGAAAATTTTTAATTATTCGCGGGTTCTAATTTTCTCGAATCGAGTGCAGCTTCCGTAGCGTTCACATATTGTTTGAATTGTTGGCGGGACGTATTTTTCGCGAATTGTAGGCGATTCGCGAAATGCACGAAAATTAGGTCCTCGCGAAAGTTTTGCCGTTTACAGTATACAGTTAAACCTCGATGTAACAAAGTCGGTAAAATTCGCAATTTACTTCGTTACATTGAAATTTCGCTAAATCGAAATTTGGCTTTAGCATGCAAAAAAACAAATTCCGAAACATTTTACGGGTATGAAAACTCACCGAAAATGACATTTATTTAGGGGCAAAGTAGTCCGCGAGTTTTGCTTGCGCCTTGTCCGACAGTAGCAGGGTAGCAGCGGTGTCATACGGCGTTCGAGCGCCCAGAGCGCTTGCACGGCATCTTGCTGCCCATGCGACGCCGTGTACCTCCTCAGTACGTCCATTCCGTCGAGCACTTTCCGAGTGCTCGTGATCTCGGCAGTTTCTTCAGGATGGCGTCCAAAACGTTTGCTTTCTCATAAAAAAAAAAGAACTTTACGTTTCCTTATGGCAGCAAGCACGTGAGTGAACCGCCCGGTTGAAAAATAAAGCTGTTTAGTTTAGGCCACGGTGTAGTCAGTGTAGTGTGTAGTTTAGGCGGTGCCAATGTTTCCAACCTACACAGCACTCTTGCCCGCACAGTTTACTGTTTACTTGCCCCCTTGCGCACACAGGGCCCACAGTGTGCTTGCGCCTTTGCTTTACATCACGCTCGCAAGACGATAATCCAGCGATAATCGGTCTTCTCGGTTTTCTCCTGGATGGCACTGCCCGTGCGGTCGCGCCATCACGTCGCTCCCCCGCTGAAGTTGGCTCCCGCGCTACCCGCGGTACAGTGGACTACGATGATCAGTGAATGTCAGTGGTGATGCTGTTATGCCGTGTTAACTTTTTGCTCGGCATTTTCTGTCCAGCCCCGCGGAATCCGCTTTGCCGCATGCCTCGCCGGCGCTACCGGCGCCGCACCCTCGGGCAGCCTAGGAACGTTGGAAGGCCTGTCCCCGTGAAGTAACCTATCAACCGCTCGCGTTTGCGCATAATTTTTTTTTTAACCACAATTTTTTTGCGAAGTTGTTTTTTAGAGTCTATTTATTTATTGCCTTCTATGGCAATGGCGCTTCGTTATATTGAAATAGCAGCAAAATAGACTTCGTTATATAGAGACTAAAAATACATGGGGTCTATGGGCAAAAAATTATGAAAAATAAAATACTTCGTTATATCGAGGATTTCGTTACATTGAAGTTCGTTATATCGAGGTTCGACTGTATTGTTTAAAGGCCGACGTACGACCTCGGTTTTCTGCAGGGAGGATAATCCTCTTAGCGCTCCCCCTCCCCTAAGGTGCGAGGGAAGTCAAGTTGGAGCAAGGCAAAATGTGGAGAGGATGTAGGAAAGGAGGAGGCGGGCAGAAGTGGAGAGTGCAAAGTGCACGTCGGCCTTTAAGACTGTTTACTGAGATTTAACACGTATCTGTATATTTATGGGAAATAAAATTTCAAGCGCCCATTTTCTTCTTTAAAATGGAGACCAAATATCGGAAGGTGCCCCTTTTCTGAGATATACAAATATAAAGAAAAGTTGCGATGTTAGGTCGTGTTTTAAACTAGGAAAAGAGGCACGCGTGGCTGTAACTTTGGTTTTTTTTGTGACAATTAGGGTAGATAGATTGTGCTTGCGCCATAAAATTGGATCTTTAGTGCCCAACGTCCAACAACAGCTTCTTTTTTGTTTCACCAGAACTTCTATACATTATAGCTTTTGTTCTGTACGAGATGCACATTCTGCACGAGGTGCATAGTCTGCACATAGAATCATCTCATTCGCAGCACACTTTGAAAAATTCCTACAAATAAAATCGCTATTCGATTTGATATTTGGCTTTTCTTAGTTTGAATCGGTATTTGATTCGAAAACTACTATTTGGTACTCGCACACCCCTAATTTCAAGATTAGAAAAAATTTGCATGTCGTCATTTTTTTATCGTGTCCCGGAGGATAGAGAGAACATGTCCTTCACTAAAAAATGTTCCATAACCGCAAAGCCAAAGTCTAGCTTTTTCCCCCACCCGCGAGTGAGAGCCAAAGGAATGAGGGCGAGAAGCTTGCGTGACCCCGCCCTAGCTGCAGCAGAACGCCCGCTACTGTACGCAGAGGCCTCTGAGAGAGCGGGAAGCTACCCCCAATGACGTCACTAGCAGGGGGACCAGTTGGGACCCTGGGAGGGAGCGGAGGGCTGCCACAAAGGACCTTTTTTTTACGCAACAACTAGGACACGCAGGCAAAATCGGTTTTCTTCAGAAGTGTCGGGTGACTCGAGGCCAGAAATCGTTGCACCCTCCTTTTAAACTAAGGTGCTTAGGAATTAGATTTTTGTTTGGGCAATAACTAAATCTGTGCACCCTAAGCATCCCAAACTAATGCTGATGTCTGGCGTTTTCTTTCTTCACTAAAACGCATGTAGACATCATGACACAACCCCAAGAGCATTATGTTCTAAAACGTTTTCTGGAGTTTAAACTTTTATTATTCTTGTATTTTAACTGTATCCACCTTGAGCACAACACTGCACTTTAACGAAGGCTTCATCCCCTCTTTCAGCTGCTTACTGAAGAGTTTGGTGTGCAAAGAAATGCTGGGCAGAAATTGAGTCCGATTGTATACGGGCCATATTGCCGTCAGTGAAAGCGGGAGAATACACTGCACTTGAGGGACTACACAACCCAGGAGCTTTGGAACCCCTAGCTTGAAAGGAAACCAGCTGAGTCTGCTACTTGTATTGAAGGGTGCCGAAGAAATTTCAGCTCTGTACATTAATTGGGAAGGGAATTGTGGGACTCATGGGTGCATTGTTTTGTTTCTCTATCATTGTAAACCAATTCAAATACCCAGCACTTTCCTTTGCTAGATGCAAAGCAGAACGCCTGAAGAGTGCAGCCATAGAAATATTTTGGAGCCCAGCTCTTCGGCGCCCGTTTTCGGCTTGCGCTGCGACGCCGTTGGCGTAACCGTGAAATCATGTGATTCCCATCAGGTCACGTGACTCCCTTTAGGTCAACTGACCCCGGTGACGTCACGTGAGGTTGCGTGACCCCATGAGGTCACGTGACATTGGTGACGTCACGTTACCTCCGTGAGGTCACGAGGGCCACGTGACCTCACGGTTACGCCGCTCGGAGTAGCAGGCAGGATGAGGGGTATCCTCTCCCCTCCTGCTCCTCAAGAGCTGCATTCGCTCTTAACAGGCCTTTCTTCTCAGAACTGATCTAGTTTTGTCAAAACATTGTTTGGCAAAATGAGGTAAATTCTTCGTCTTCTGTGTCTCGTAGCAAATGTTACATGAGTTTGATAAGCTATTTATAAAGCAAAATGCCAATTTCCCAGGCACACTAAATTTGAGACTTCTTTGCTGCTATTTTGGAAGGACACTAAATTTGAGACTTCTTTGCTGCTATTTTGGAAGGATAGATTGAATAAAATGAAATGTATGCTCAACAAGTGAAATGGAAACATTCCAAGTGGCCAGATCTTTTCCATAGCATTGATGCGCTCCAAATAATTGCTATAGTTTCATCAAAAATGGATGAAACCCTGTGAAAATATACCTGGTGGATTCCTCAATCTATGGCAGAAAAGAATTTGCGTTCTGGACCATGTCCCATTGATCCCACCTGCAGGTCTCCCTGTCCTTCTCTCCGGACCAAGCCCTTCCGGGCTCCAAGGTGAGCGTGGAGCTGTCGGCAGAGAGCAAGTCCCTGTGCGGAGTGGGCGCCCTGGACAGCAGCGTTACCCTCCTGGACGGATACGACCGCATTTCCAGAAACGGGGTAATTCACACGAAGCCCATCGCTTCTCCAATTCCTTCCTAGCGACCGACAACCCTGAATCTCCTCTATTTTCAAGGTACCGTTCTAGCACTGCTATGATCTTTGCTTGGTGACTGTGGCAACAAAGGTCGTAGGAGATGGGGCATAGTCTGAACGTTGTGCTGTTCTAAGCACAAGCTATTTCCTGAAGACTGCTTCAGACGCAAGAATTCCTCCCAGCAACCTGATGTAGCAACACCGGCTCCAGCTGCATTCCCATGCAACAACTGAATCGCTACAAATTTACAGTATCATCCCCTGTTTCTATTTTTCTATGGCATTGAGGATACCAGTTTCTGAAGGGATTTCTCCCTGCGAGGGGTGTGCCAGGCACTTTCTGTCTGGCCCGCAGGGATGTGCTCCAGACGGGTGCCATGATGCCAGATATCCTGTCTGCCAGGTAGTGAAAACAAGAAACATTTTTGTGCCTTTTTTGAGTTGAGCACCCCTGGAAATGATTCATTTCAAATTAGAACCAAGGGAAATCTCGTGTTATGCCCTCGTCGCCACCACAGTGGTGCCACGTGGAAATATGACTCTCCCGATTGGCTGCTGCCGCTTCAAACGTGTCCGAGTTGTCAGAGCTGCTCGCCCGGTTTGAGCCGCACTTGATCCCACAGATTCCCCTTGCAGCGCGAGAATCTAGGGAAAGCGAGGAAAACGAATTTGCCAGCAACCTTGAAGTTGCCGGGAAAATTTCCCTGTCCGAGACGGGCCTAGAGTCGGCAAGCTACAGTCAAACCTGTAAAAAAATGTCTGCCAGTTCGATAGAGCGTTTGAATGAATTTGACTCTCCAAAATCCACTTTCTGCTGACAGAATGAAATAGTTTTGCATACTCTGCCGCTTTTTCTTCGTTGCATGACAATATTTTTCTACGGTATGCAGTGACTCCAGAATGTTGAGGTCGCTGCCTTCTCCAGCACCGAATTATGCCCAGAGTATGGAGCACGTCCAAGCAGGAGCTCCTTCCCCTGCAGAGTGCCCTTTTGCTCTGCAAGTTGATCTTTCCCCTAAGGCTGCATTAGAGCAAAGCCAGCTAGCAGAAGAAGCTGGCTTTTGTTTTCTACCAAGCGTCAACCGCTGGGAAGAACCTCTTTAGCGGACGGAGCGGGGAGAGGGAGCACTTTCTCCCCTCCGCAAAAGAGATTTTTTTTTTCCGGGCGATCGACCGGGTTGTTTGAGAAAGGAAAGCTTGTAGAGCAAAACAGCGCTCTTGGCAGTTTAATATATTGGCGGCGGCTGCTATTTTTGTTTGACGTAACCCTAGTTTTTGCCATATATTACCTGTAACATTACTGTGCACAAAAGTTAGTTGATATAAGGGATATTTCGATGTAAATGGTTTTGATATAGTCGGGTTTTCCTGTCTTTGTCAGAATGATCTATGGACACTTGGTTACGTCTGACCCAGGAAATATTGGTTATTACTACCTTACTAGGCCATATCTACGCCAGTTAGCGCTCTTTCTCTCGTTCTTCCCTCCGTCGTCCTTGCGCTATTTTTGAAACATATAACACCCTTTGCCAAACGTGACTCGTAAAAAAATTGGTTGTAATGAAGGTATAGTGACCAGATAGAAAATTGACTGGAATTTCAGCTCTGCTTGGTTAAACATGCAATTTCATAGTAGACATTTGTTGTAACGATGTTTCACATCCATATTGTTGCAAGCAGATGCCAGTGTCCCAGATGTATGCTGTCCCAACAAAAGGGATTACTCCCAGCACTCAATCACCTTGCCTTTTAAAGGGGCAGCAATTCTTAAAGTTTGACCAAATCTTTGTGGGAATTATTTTATGCCATTTATAGAATGAACAGAAAAATAGTTTTTTCTTGCTTGCGCTAGTTTCTGTGTACAATCGCATGAAACCGAATTTCAGTGTGCCCCTCCACTCTTATGCAATCTTTAGAGTTATGCGCACAGTGACGTCATGGGGCGTTTCTTCTTGGGTTATGTCTTTTGCGGCGGGCGATTAACACAAAAGTCCCGTTCACCATGGGGAGAGTGGGGTGGGAGGGGGTATTACTCGCGAGGGTGGACTTTCATTAGGTGGCGCCACGAAAACTGGTGTACCGCATGACACTTGAATTTCCACGATTACCGCACACGGCTGCAGACTGTACATAGAGAAATAATGTGTTTTTTCCCTCTCAATTATGCAGCCGAATCTCAGTATTTTGGGGGATGGTCGTGCGTTCTCTCAATGGTCATGCGATTTCTCGTGTTCTTACCAAGATAAACGGTATAAAAATTACAAAGTGCAAATTGTTTTAACACTCAAATTGTTGCACTGCCTTCTTAAGTCCCAACGTTTTGAGTATGGAATGAACTATGTTCCAGGTCTTGAACACGATCAGCAACCTGAATTACGAGTACTCTCGCACCAACCTCGTCAACCAAAGCTACTGTTACGAAGGTGAGCTCTCAAATCCCAAGCAAAGGACGTCCCCGAGTGTTGAATAGAAATATTTCCTCTTTTCTGCACCTTTCCCGGAAATTGCAAGAAACGGTTTTTCGTCCTTTGTGTTGAAATGGAGTCTGCGACGGAGCAAAACAATGTCGCCTGAGCTTCCTGTATCCAGAGCTGAAAAGCCACATTTGAGAACTGTAAGGAGCGCCAGTTGCGCCCACTTTTCACCAAAATGGAGGCACCCAGAACCATTTAGTGAAACTCTCCTGAGCCAAAATAAATATTGCTTATCATATTGTATCAAAATCTAGGAATTGTCTGATTCTTCTTTTCTTTTTCACTTTTCTGAATTTGGACTTTGAGGTCGTCTATTTATGGTTAGAACTGAATCTACGAGCTCTATCGTAAAGAATTACACTCATGGGCACCTGATTTTCCTATCAAAAATCAATTCAAATATGGGATGGCGTTTTTAAGCAATAACTGCGGTATTATGTCTCTTACACCCAAAGATTTGATGTTTCTTTTGTCAAGATATAGTTCACAATGCACCTAAAAAGTGCAATAATAATTCAGAATCTCCACGCAAGCAACTATTTTTATTGGTTAAATTTATTGAGGTGGCAAGGACTCCACCGGAAGAAAAAATGTTGCCCATTTATTTTTATTACTGCGAGTTTACTAGGATGTCTTGAAATCTAGGACTGGTCATTTTTTTTTTTTTTTTTGCCTAAAGACCGACAAACAATATCCCATTAAAATCGAGTTTCTTCAAAAAAGTCCTTCAGTGCCCCCTTAATATTTGCGCATTAAAGTGATTCTGGATGTTTTTTTTTTCCTCATAAGCAATGGCACTTACGAACATTTCCGTATCTACCCAGTGCCAAATGTGGTCTTTTTTGGTTTACTTTCATTAACTCGGGCTTCGATTGATTCAAACTATTTTGGCACTCCTTGAAATTTCTATGAACATGCTTTTACTCTAATACAGTATAGACCACTCACAACGTAACCGCTTCTAGTGCAGGATCGGGTATAACGCGGCTTTTTTAAACCACCGGTTCGCCTCCCATAGAACTCCATGTAATTACATACCGCTTAAAATGCAGGCGCGCGAAGGGAAATACCGGTTATAGTGCGGTTTCTGGAGCAGCGCGCCGACCGCCCCGACCGGCGCAGCGAGCACGCTTCCCTGTGCGACACCAGATAATGGCGCTAGCTGCAAGCGGCACTCGCGGGTGCAAGGATGGCAAGGAGGTTGCTCGAAGAAGCGGGGAGAAGCGAAGGAGAGGCTTCAGTTGCCTTAGCGACGGAGGGACGCACGCACGTGTCGTTCACGTGCGTGCATCCCTCCGCTGCGTTGGAAACGTTGGAAACAACCGCAACGGCAGACCAATCGCAGGTCGAGGAGAAGTGTTCGCGCGCGTTACATGCCGGTCGCGGGCCGGCCGGCTGCTTCTATCCGCAAACATGGTGTCGGTTTTGATCGTCGACGTAGACGGCGTGGTAGAAGCTCATCGTTCCGCGTAAAAGCGCTATTCTTGACTGTGAATTTTCGTTGTGTGTCGCTATGATAACCCAGCACGTACTAGAAGGGAAGATCCACCTACTCGTGCGGCGATGATGTGGCGGCACTCTCAAGACGGCAGAAACGCCCGTGTCATTGTGTTACTTTGACTACAGTGGTGCTTTCTAAGCATTTGTGTTTTCAAACATCGCCCGGATTTCTTATTTGGAGCATTTCATGCCTGTGCTCAAGTTGAAGGTATTACTGGCGCGTATCGTATAAAAGATGCAAATTTTCACGCGTTTTCATTGCCGGAGAAAAGTGATTAGGGTTAGCAATCCTGAACGCTCGCAACGTCCGTCCGCAACCCGCGACGCCGTTAAAAGGCTGCGCCAGGCAAAAGTCGCTCATTTCTTTCAAAATGTGTGACACACTTGAGAGAGAAGTGTACTAGTCTGGTGAAATAAAGACTTTCCTCAAACTAAGCTTTATTTTTCATCTAACATTGAATAAATTGTTTTACAAAGGTAAGTTGTCTGATGGCATGTATTTTGGCCTGAAAAATTGATGTTTTGGTTATAGCGCGGTACCGCTTATAGTGCGGATTTTCGCGACTCCCGCGGCATACGTTATATGCGGTCTACACTGTATATATTGTGAAATAAAAAAAGCTCTAGAGGAAACCTGTGTGATTTGTGGCTTTAGTCACATCTTTAGTGTGTTCAGCTCTTGCTCAGTGAAGTACACTTTTATGATTTAACATGCACCTTTATGGTTTCTTCGCACCACTTTATAGACACCTTACACATATCTTGGGTGTAGGACAAAATGGTCCCGGCCAAAATTGTCCCGGACAGAATGGTCCCGGACAGAATGGTCCCGGACAGAATATGGTCCCGGACAGAATATGGTCCCGGACAGAATATGGTCCCGGACAAAATATGGTCCCGGACAAAATATGGTCCCGGACAGAATATGGTCCCGGACAGAATATGGTCCCGGACAGAATATGGTCCCAAGTGCAAACCCAGACAAAATGGTCCCAAAGGATTTGCTGACACAATGGGTGCTCATTGAAATTTTAGTGAACTGCTACTCTGAAGCTTTATTCAACACGTGTGTAATATATATTTAAATGTATTTAAGTTTTTTGTGAAATATTTAAGAAAACAACTAAAGAAGCCCAAAAGTTAAAATGTAAGCTCTATCATCGCCCACTCGGCTCTACGGAACTGGAGCTTGGAAATCGCTACACAAATACATTTGCACACTTTAAAAGCGCAAGGTCGCAATGCACTCTGCGATTAATTAGTCTAGCCAGTTAAGGGGGGACACAGCCGTGAAAATCAAAATTAAAAAAAAATAGTCAATTTTGAAAAATCCCATTTTTAGGCTCGCAAACTTCTGGAGAATATCTCCACGAAGTTTCATTCAGGTCCGTTGCTTAGTTGTTTTGCTACGTGATACTTTAGACGCGCCGATAATGCAAAAAGATGCGAAGCGGCGCCCCGCGCGCATGGAGCGCTGCAATGTTTACGTTTTTCACCACGGAGCCGCTCCGCGCACACTAGGCCTAACGAGAAGATTGTGCCCTTGTTGGAAAGCTTATCTCTTCTATTTTCTGTACCGATAGTATTCGTAAGCGCCCTGGGAGACGTTTGTGAACCCCGTCGGAATTTGCGCGTTTTCGCGCTAAAAGGCTCTATGCGATCTCTTATTGGGCCGAACTGATGAAACGTTAGCTCCTATTGGCCTCCGTATGCCACATGCTCTCTGGCTTGGCTAGCTTGCTCATTGTCTGCTAGTTCTCATTTAGAAGCCGACACTATCACTTCGTCGGTCTCTACTTCGTGAACTTTTCAGCAAGTTTTCTTCGATTGTTTTTCGGTGATAGTTTTGAGAAGATGCCGCTGATCGCGAACGCGGCAAAGCTTCGGTCGCCGCTCACGATCCAGAAAATCGCGAGGACTCAATGTGGCAACGCGCGCACCCGCCGCTGATGACAACAATCTCCTGTCTTCAAGATCATTGCCCGTTCCACCCGAGGCTGCAGTGGCAGTGGCAGTACCCGAAAGTGCTACGCTCTGTGAGTCGGACTTGCTCACCGCTTTTGAGCGGAAGATAAGATTTCTGGAGGAGGCAAGCGGAAGCGACGGGAGCACCGAAGATGCCAAGCGTTCCGGAGAGCCTTGCGGGGATGGTGCGGCCAGCTTCCGTTTGGTGGATGTGGCTTGTCTGCGAAGCTTGGTGAAAGTTCTGCTGTGCCCAACTTGCCATGGTGGTGATTTGGAACTTCGAGAACACTGCACCGGAGCTCATCTGACATTTGTCGTCGAGTGCCCCACTTGTAAAGCAATCGTTTCGTTGCCCGCCTCGTAATTGCTGCGCGCAATTGCGGGATCGGCTTCACAAAGCTTACAGACTTTATTACGGAACTCAATGCCCCTCTGCCGATGCACCTCAAATCGTACCAGATGATCGCGACGAAGGTGCATGACGCGGCGACGCGAGCATCAGCTAACACGATGGCAGAGGCTGCGGAGACGGTGCAAAAGGTGCTGTGAACGTCGGATGACAAGGAGCAGGTGCGAGATGTCTGCGTAAGTTATGACTGGACGTGGCACAAGTGAGGCCACACATCTCATTTCGGCGTTGGTGCTGTTATTGAGCTTGACACCGGTCTAGTTCTAGACTACGCAGTGGTCAGCAACTACTGCCACGCTTGCAGCCTTAAACCAAAGGAGGGCTCCGAAGGGTACAAAGAGTGGCTACAAGAACATGAGTCCAAATGCTAGAAGAATTTCGATAAATCGGCCAATGCCATGGAGGTGCACGCAGCAGAGTTGATCTTCAGCCGGTCGGTGGAACTACACAAGCTGCAGTATGTGACCGTGCTTTGTGACGGCGACTCCAAAGCCTTCAACCGTGTTGCTGCACTGCAGCTCTATGACAAGGATATGAGCAAGGAAGGTTGTATCAACCATGTCGCAAAGAGGCTCTATGCAGGAATGGAGAAACTGAAGAAAGTGAAGAAAGGACTGGGAGGATGGGGCAAGCTGACAAACGTTATAAGGAAAAAAATGACAAATTACTATGCAAGTGCCCTCAAGGAGAATGCCCCAGATGTGACAGCAATGCAGCGGGGGGTCTTTGCAACCCTGCTGCACATGTACTCGACTGACGAAGAGCCCAGGCACATGGCGTGCCCCAAAGGGAAAGAGTCGTGGTTCCACCACAACCGCCACCTCGCACTCCAAGCAGGTGGAAAGCCATTGCCAAACCTCACCGACCGGCCTTCTCCAAAGGAGTGGCCAAGGAACTTGTGCCGGTGTACAACCGCCTGGCACAGAAGGACTTGTCGGCTCACGGATGAAGACACAGAATGCCAACGAGTCCTTCGACGCTCTCATCTGGAAGAGGTGTCCGAAGACGGAGTTTGCTTGTCGCAGTAGAGACTGCAGTAGCCCTTGCAGTCCTAGAGTATAACCTAGGACCAAAGGGCTTTGAAAGGGCCCTGCTTGAGATGAAGATGGAGGCCGGAAGTCACCACAAGTCCCAGGCAGGCAAGGCAACTCTGCACAGACTTGCCAGGTCCCGAGCAAGTGGCTGGAGTCGTCGAAAGGTGCCCACAAGCGACGCAAGATGGAAGCCTCCAAACAGAAGCGCCTCCGAGAGGAGGGTCCTACCTACGCTGCTGGACACTTTTAGTGATTTCTCAGAGCCACTGAAGAAACAACAGTGGTGTGGAAACTTCAAATGCTTTTTTCTCTGTTCCCCTTTTTCTGTATAAATTCTGTTTTAGTCAGCCTATCATTTCATAATGGGGCAAAAGGGAAAGCTCGTTGTTCACTTTTCTTTGCTGAAATTTAATAAGGAATGCGGCCAGTGAATTTTTTTTTTACTTTTGAAAATATTTTATCAAATTTTTTAATGTTTCGTTGAAGACATGGAAGGCCAGAAAGTTAAATCAATTTTGAGAAGATATTTTCATAAAAATAAATTACTTTTTGAAAAAAAAAATTTTATGGCCGCACTCCACAGGCATTTGACTACATATATTGCGAAAACAAATGTTGGACATTGCATTAGTTACCCAACGATAGGAAATCTAAACAATGCTGGGATGCTTCCGATATAAACCACTAACTTGCTTCACAATTCATCTAGAGAGCTGAAACTTTGCATACCATCTTTTATTGCGACCAATAGTGTACCCTGTAAATTTTATTCATTTTAAGCAAAGGGTTCAAAAGTTGACTGTTCTGGGTAGTGTCTCCCCTTAAAGGGAAGCTACGGAGCTTCTTGGAAAAAATGAGTTAGAAATGAATTCTAGTGTATTTTTACCCCGTGAACCCGAATACCCAAACAATTTGCTGCGTAAGTATTGTTAAACGCGAGAAAACCGCGAAAGACAGTCGCTGTCCGTGACGTCATTGACGGCTCTTTTGGCTGCCCAAGGCTAGGGGGGCGGGGCTTCAGCCCTATTTTGAAATTGCTCTTGTGGCTCTCCGGCGCGTCGCATTGAAATATAATTTTGATATCTGTTATTCTAAAGGCCAAATGAACGCAATTCAAGCGTTTTTTCTCAAATGTAGAAGTGCCCCATCTTCCCTTTAAGACATGCACGAAAAGTCATTGAATGCCATTATAGTACATTTTGTTTCCAGCACTGCTTGATTGGTTTTATCAGCTCATACCGTCGGCTGCACTGTGACTTTAGTAAAACGTAGTATAAGTGAAAGAAAAAAATTTTTTTTTTTTTTTAAATTCGACTTCATTTTTTATGATTTCGAAATGGCGCAATGGCACTGCAAGATGACGCATGCACACAATGATTCAGACGTAATCATGGACAGACCACATATTTGTGGTGGCGTGCGTACGTTAAAGGGCAACTCCGGCCAAAACTCGAAATGAAATAAATTACTGGTATCGCTGTAGTGACGCAAAATACGACCCCAGCCAAAATATTACATCCGGGGGACTCCGCATCCTCAACTAATGCCGATAATGAAAATGCGACCCGCTGCGAGCCGCTGCCCCTTAGCGGGCGGCCAGCGGGTTGCCGATCGCTAGAGCAACATTGGGCCGTGACGTCAGTATCGTTCTTTTTTTCCTCCGGTCCGGCGTTGCACGGAGTGCGCCTCTTTGAGCCACTACCACCGCTTCTTCGGCTTGTGATTGGCATGTTTAGCCGTTGCTTTTACCTGTAGCCCATGTAGCTTCGGTATAGCCTTTTGTTTATTTGCTTGTCAGGACTTCAAGACGTGTTTTAGCGAGCAACTCGGCGCACCCAAGACTGCCCAACTGTTCCTCGAAAGATGCCGAGTACAACTTGAAGCTCTGTCGGCTGCTCAAACAACCCGCTGCACAACCCGGAGGTGCTTTTTCACCAGTTTCCAATGGAGCGGAAATTAGAGAAGGTGTGGGTGAACGCTGTTCGACGAGTGGACTTTGGACTTCAGCTTTTACGCACCCGAGGAAAAAAGAATGAAAAAAAAAACGGACATGTACAGCCCAGCACACATGTGTTCGGGCGCCGCGGCTCGCGCCGGAGAGCCTCAAAGTTTTGTGTCTGGGACAGACCCGCAGCGCGAAAGCGAGAGGGCCCCCAGTACTGTACGTGACTGGCAGTGCGGCGTAGAGCAACACCGCTCCATTCACGGAGCCTTGATGACAATTTAGGCCTAGCGACGAGTACGGAAGACCGCACACACGGCGGCAGCCGCCGAGCACTGCACCGAACGAGCTCACTCGTTTTCCAGTCGCTAGCTTTTGGGTATAGCCACTAACTCTTCCTACATATGCTGGGTAACTACCACGTATACAGAAATAAAACAAAATCAGCTTACCTCCTATCTTTAAATGGCTAGCGCAACAGAGGCAGGTGCCACTCGGCCTGCGTACTCGTTGAACGAGAACGATCCTGACGTCACATTCACATAGCGGCTGATTTCCAGTGTTGCCAGGGCCTCGAGCGGCTAGTTTCGGTTTTGTTGGCCGCGCCCCAAACAAAACTTTGAGGCGTCGATATCTTTAAGATTACACACAATAGCAAGAAAAAAATTACACCTTGCAATTCAGGGACGCTGACTACACTACAAGCAGTCATAATCCTAAAATCGAAAGTATGGACCCGAGTTGCCCTTCAAAGAGGCTAGCAGTGCTACTGAACTGGCAAAATTTCCCGTCTACAACGTAAATCAGTGTCACTGCTCATCCAAGGCAGACCGACCTCATACTCTATAGAAACGTCAAATATATTTCTTTTGGTGAGGGCGTGTAATGAAACGTTTTTCTTCTCGTGCACATGACAGTATGTTCAGTATTATAGAAATATTATTTCTATTGTAAACTTTTTGCTTCTTGGCTTAGCTAATGCAATTTGTTTTGTATTGAATATATAAACTTTACAATTGTTCTTGTTCGAAATTGTTCATACAATCGACTAACCCCCCAGAACAAGCAAACTAGGCCTCAAAACCTTCCTGGAACCATTTTGTGCAAAGCTATTTTGACTGGGACCGTTTTGTCCGAGTTCGTTTTCACCGGGGCCATTTTGGCCGTGACCAAATGCTAAACTATGAACCAACCGCTCCCTAATATGTCAATTAATGTTTGCAAGTTTTATTGCTTTAAACATGCAATGTTGTATCAATGCCGAGGCCAGGAGGAGTTTCTTGGCTCTTATTCCATGCAGAAATGCTGAAGGTCGAAAAGTTTGCGAATCTCATTATTGCTCTTTGTACCAGATTCTGCTGCCTTTGCTTTGTTACTGCATTCTATGAGCAAGCATTACTGGGAGTATCAGAAACTCTCGTTATTGTTTGTTATGCGCTACTAGGAAAATGTAACAACCTTTCCCTTGCAAAAAAAAAAAATTAAATTTCCACAGTGTGACGCAAACAATTTGTGTATACTTTCTAAAAAAAATAAAAAATTTTTGAGAATGCATAATCATGTCGTATTACACCTGAGACTGCGGTGGAAGAAATCGGAAGAACTTTCAGTAGAAGGAACAGACACAGAGACGTTCTCTGTGTCCGTTCCTTCTACTGAAAGTTCTTCCGATTTCTTCCACCGCAGTCTCAGGTGTAATACGACATGATTAGCTACCACCAGCTCGCCTGCACTCTCACCGTCTTTTCACTGAGAATGCATGTAGGTTGTTTTTTTTTATAGATGAAGAAATTTGAGAATATCTGGTTCATAGGCTGGCAAGAACACACCTAACTCTGATTTTCCATTGTTTCTTTGGCAGACGGCTACAGGTTCAACGAGCCTTACGATACCGAGAGCCCAGCATCTTCTGGAAGGAGCAAGCGCCAAGTGTTGGCACCTAACGTCGCACCAAGCTACGATTCGCTCACCTCATTCGAGGTAAATGTTTTCTCGAGTTCCAGGTTTGGCCGAATTACATCCCTGCAAGCATCACCTTGTCCACTTTGTATGGGTGAACTGAAGTCGTTTACTCGCCCTGATGTGGTTCACAGGGACCATAGCCTACTGTGTAGGCTATGGTCCCTGTGAACCACATCAGGGCGAGTAGCGTGACAGCGTATCATCGGAGCATTCTCTCTTTGCAGAAAGCATGCTTTTCTCTAGCGCTCCGATTTGCTCGAGGAGGGTGTACTGCATGCTCTCTGCCAAGTTAGTGGGAAACAAAATATATAGTTTTCAGTTAGACATTGACTGATCCAATATTGCAAACTAGCACATGAAGGACTAGAGAGAAGCACTTTGGGAGAGGTTTCTGCCATCTGGGAGATGACTTTGCGGGTTGGTCTTTTACGCGACTCAAATTCGCACAATTTTTTAAAAGTATTTCTGCTTTGAGGTAGTATCCGTACGATGCGACGGGCACAGTGAAAGAGCAGTCACAAGCAGAGCGCACTGCATTCCTGACTGCTGTCCACTGAGCATCGAGCCGTACAGACTTTGTTTCGTATATCCGAGTCTATAGGCCTAGTATAGATTGCACCCCGTAGAAACTGCTGCTTTCAGGAAAAAAGGCGGTATATGCATTTAACCTTGTATATGTTTGATCGGCATAATGAAACCGTATTAAAAAGCCCGCATGTACGTAATATACCCAGGCGAAAATTTTCAACTGGTCCCAGTTGCAACTGGTTTATGGAACAATTCCCAGTTGCAACTGGTTCCAGTTGGAGTTGTCCAACTGGTCCCAGTTACAACTGGTCCCAGTTCGAGTTGGTCCCAGTTACAACTGGTCCCAGTTGGAGTTGGTCCCAGTTACCGCTGGTACCAACTCCAGCAGCAATGAAACACGGCACAAAATGGAAGGTTGACGAGACCTTATTGTCAAAAACTTGGAGAATGAAACTAAATAATAGGTTCGGTGACGTACACGCTCCGGTTTTAGCTACCTGCTTGCGACGATTGAATCGCTTTTCAGAGGTAGTATTCGTGAGATGAAGGAAGATCGGCCGCTGGCGTCTTTGTTAGTGAAGACGTCCTCAGCTTCTCTCCCCATCGCGTGAAGAAAGGTGCTCACCCGTGATCCCGCGTTGCGCAGGTAAAGTCCTGATAGGATGCGGTAGCGCTCCCACCTTGCAATCTCTGTCGCAACAGTCGAACATTTTCGAGGTAGACGTCCCGCCATTTTCGCCATTGTGCTCTCCGCGGCGTTTTCTTCTGTCCGGTCTACGTGCGTCCGGTCTTTTCTGGGTGCCCTCCGATCGCTGAACTGCATCTTTCCATCCTCGAAGCTCACCGCTGCCCCCGTGGTGTGTTTACAGTTAGGTCCAAAGAAGCGCAGCTGTAGTTTTGACATTTTCATAACGACGCCAACTTGGGCGATGGCAAGCCTTCTCTACCGCGTCCGTCCGACTCCGGCGTCAGCATAGGCAGTGCCATCTGTCAACAGCGCGTACCACTATTCCGCACCCGCGTGCCACGGCGGCCGGCTAGCTCCGATTGGCCAAAAGATAAATTTATTTATTAAAAGAAGAAATACTGTAGGTGTTTAAATAAATGTTTTAATATATTTTAATTATGCACTTAATGTTCATTTAGGTGAACAAATTTTGTCACTAATTATATTTTTCAAGTAAAAAAATTATTTAGTTAATTACAATTTTTATATTATTTTTATAAATATATAAATGTACCCAGTAATTCAAAATTCCCTATTTGTATAAATCTACAAATGTTTTTAGTTTTCTTCATTAGCAAAGGTCAATGCCCCCCCAGCTTGTCAAAATTGTTGCCCCGTGTGAACTGGGAACGGCATTTGAAGTCCGACTGGGAATCGCTCCAACCAGTTCCTTTCCTAACTGGTTCACTGCATCCCCAACTGGGAATGGTTCAAACCAGTTGACCCTCAGCTGGTCCCAGTTGGACTCCTATTGGTCCCAGTTGGTACCAGTTAGTCCCAGTTGAGGCGCCAGCTGGTCCCAGTTAGAAATTTTTGCTTGGGTATGATCACATCATGTGCGAGGCCTAGTTTCAATACTCTCGTCAATGAGTTTAATGTAAAACATATCCTCCGTGGCAAATATTTGCAATTAAGGTTTATATGTATAAAAAAGTGCATACAAGTCGCATCCCTGTAAATGACGCACTGAGGGAAATTTTAGAAAAACCCCGCAAGTTGTACACTAGAAAATATGGTATTTAACATGCTCAACGGAGGTTTGCAATTTTTGTTATTCCAGAATGCCGGAGTGGTAGTGTTCTCGAACCTGGCGATCCAGACGCGGCCGTGCAACAACCGTGCCTTCCCAGGCTACCCCAACAAGCAGGCGCTGCCCTCCCGCTCCTACCAGCCGTCCTTTGGCGGCGGCGGATTCGGCGGTGCCCTACGTCCGGGTAAACCGAGACACTTGGAGGAGACGTGCAAAACAATGCTCAAAAGAAAGGGACACAGAAACTCGCAACTGAAAGGCTGTTTCTTTTTAAGCAGATATTTGAAAAAAAGATCCGTGAAAGCTACACTAATGTCCAGGGGAGTTATATGGCCATAATATGGAGGGATAATTATCGCATCAAGTCTAATAATGAACTAAAACGTGTGCTTTTTAATTAGTGAAAATAGACATCGGGTTTCAATGAGAAACTTGCTTGGTGTCATCTAAAACTACTAAATTGCTCAAGTGGAGATAGTTCTGAAGTGCGTAACAAGCACGGGGGCGTGCAAACTTTCCCATTTGTGGAACAGGCGCAATGCAGGCGAAAAGAAAAGAGGATCAACCGCATTTTCCGCCGCCAGCGCCTGTTGCACGAGAGAAAAATTCAGCACCCTCCCGTGCTTACCACATGCTTAAAATGTTTCTTAAATTGCCCGATTCAGTGGTTTGTGATGATGCTTAGCAAGTTTCCAGTTGGAACCACATTTTTAATAAGTAGATAGGTCATTCTATTTAGTAATCTGACCTATCGTGACGATTAGCCTCCTACGATATGCCCTCCTGGCCGTTTAATTCACTCGCACACATCGCATTAGTATAGTTTCACATTTTTTTTAATGAATATGTCCGAATGTTGTCTTTCTGAGCACTGTTTTTCATGATGTGCAACATGATGCCAACTAGACCAATTTCCCACCTTGTTGGACGCTAGAGGGCAGCTCCGCTCGAGAGCACTGCCTCATACTGTCTGGCAAGGTCCTAGTCAATTTGGGTCACAAACAAAATTACTGCATTTCTTAATTGCGATAGTAAACTGTTCACTGCTCAGTTTCCGGCCACATGTAGCCTTAGCTATTTGAACCCAAGTTTTCGAAACTAAGCAATATCTTGTACAAGTGTTATAACTAATGTCTTTTTTTAAATATTTTTATCGGGGAAAATGGGTGGTTGGCGAAGCCCACTTATAGATGGGTATGAATGGTGTCAACTACAGAGAACAGGCCCCATTATTCCATTGAAAGTATCAGAAAGAACTATTAACATTACACTTGGTTTTCAAATTTTCTCATCTGACTGGGACCGCTTCATTTGCTGTCTTTGCTTTAAACCGGTCAGAACTTTGAAATCGATAAATGGAGCGGAGTTGCCTTTTAGAAAAAATGACCGCATCTGCACAAGGTGAATGATGTTGATGGGGCAAAGCCCTGGTGGTGCTTGCCTGCGTAGACACTGAGCCGCCGAGCCTTTCGTTCGTTTTCATCCATGTCAGAAAGAGAAGGTGTGGTATGGAACGTGGTTATATGCGCATCTGAGCATTTGACCGCAGCGCCCTCTCCTGTATAGACATTGAGCGGCTACGTGCAACGTTTCATCCATGACATCCCCAGCTCTTGAGTTACTAGCACATCTCGGAGCCCCCTACTCGTCCCGCAGTTGTGGCCGAGTGGTTAAGGCGATGGACTAGAAATTTATTGGGGTCTCCCTGCACAGGTTAGAATCATGTCGATTGTGCAAACATTTTTTTTCTTTTTCATTTCCTTCTTTTTTTATTATTTTTTGCCTTACACGAGCACGTGAGCACATGAGCTCACGAGCACCAGCAAGATCGATGTGAGCATGGATGCCGGACAGACGAGGCTAGACCCCAAGGAGCTTTGCCCCTAAAAGGGAAGTTGTTTTGAGGCAAGGGATCGCTAGCCGAGCATGTCGTCGCGTGTTCGGAGGATGTGCCACGAAGAGCTTCCGCTGTGCAACTATAAAATCCTGGGCTCAGTCTCCACGTGATGCAGGTTAGAAGACATCATGTTAGCAGTGGCACTGCACCGATAGACGCTCACCCCTATGCAGACAGTGGGAGCTCACCAAACAACCCTTTCATCACCTGCTTTTTGAACGTGGGTGGGAGGGCGGTCACACGGTGAATGAACATATAGTTTCCGATGTCAAATTAAGGTTGAATGGAGTAGTGCTGAACCCCTCTTCCAAGATCTCAGCAGCTTTGTTTAAACATCCGGGTGAGGTGGTGTCTTGTTTGATCAAACTTTGTACGAAAAAAGAGTCTTGAAATTCAATCGGACAGGGAAAAAACGCAATTGATATTGCATGCATAGTAAGAAGTAGCTTTTAGCAGTTTATGATGCTCAAAATGAAAAGGTGAAAAATTGCACTTCACTGGGATTAATTGAGCTGTAGGGCCAGTATTCAAATTATTTTGCACGAGGCCCATCAAGCACAAAGACAGACTGGAAAAATAGTCTGGAGTCAGCTCCTTCTGAGCCAGCTTTCAGTGCATGGGAGAGGCAGAACTGAGTAAACAAGAAACAAACATGCCAACAGGTAAGAACTTTCATATAAAAAGTAAGCACTTCATGCTTCACGAGCTGTATGTCGTGTCAGCGAGGCATCCTGAAAAGTACAAAAGGTGGTTATTCCTAAAGGCAGGTTCACACGTTTGATTGTAACCGAGTGTCGTGCAGCCTCGTGCGACCTTAAAACGGAAAAAAATACTGCTACGCTGGAGCCATCTATGAGGCAGGACTGCATTTGATTCGAGTGAAGGCTTTTTCAGTTTTTGTAGGATCAACTGTAGGTACTTCCAATGAAGCCGTTTATAACTAATTGTCAACATTTTTCAAGCACATTCTAAAAGAATGGTGCTCAAAAACACGAGGATATATTGTCACAAATGACGATGAGGCAACAAAAACCGAAGCAAACTAAACGTTTAATGGGGTAAAATTGTGCCCAAAACAAAATAGAAAAAGTTAAGGGCGGCGAAACCGCGGAATCAAACACTGGGGCAAGACTGACTCCGGCTCGTGGAGCCCCTTTTGTACACACGTGGGCTTCTGGAACAGTCGGCGTAGAACATTCTGACCTTGAACATGCAGCAGAGTTCTCGAATGTACCAGAATGCGACAATTCCAAAAATAACCAAAGGCGACTCGGCATGAAACCTCTTTGCGTGGGTGCGGAACACGATGGCCACGGTCGCGCTGCCTACTTGACCAGCTGCGCATGCAGCAATGTGCACAACTCACAAGTGTTTGAGATTACGTTCTCTCACCGTAAGCAATCGAAAGGAAGGCTGTACGATGTGCCCGTTTGGGGCCAAACCCAAGTGTGTCTGAATCGTCCCTAATGTGTCGGCACTCTGACCGAGGCCCTGAAATAGGGTCTTTGGGACTGGTACCATGGACTCCCCTCGTTACCTACATAGCTCAGCCGAAAGTGTGCACACTCATTGTTTGTACCGAAATTGTCCCTCTAACATGAAGGTTTCAAGCCTAAAGTAGGAAGGCAAAGTATGCTCAGGCAACTCTTCCAACATCTTCATTCCTCATGATATAGTATGACTCGTGCTATAAAACATCAAGTTCTGATGCAATCAAGTCCAATCTGTTTTGTGGTCAACAACTCCCCAAATTCCGATGCATGTAGTAGTAGTTGCATTTTAAATTACAGAAGTAATCTGCCGTTTTTTTAGTTATCCAAACTATACACGTTTTTTAAGTTCCCCGTGTTTACTCTTCCTGGCATGATGTTTACTATTTCCAAATTTGAAGGAAGCATTAAAAAATGTAAGTGAAGGCGATGCCAAAACCGAGTTTCAAATTTCCTTGCGCTTTTCAGTGGTGTGACATCACTGGTATGCATAAGCAGTGTAGAAAATATCTCAGTTTTTGTGTGCTGCTTTGCAAATCTTGGAAGTGATCTTGCACAGCATTCATTTCACACAATCAATATTTGTGCAATCGGTCAGGAACAAGTTCTACTACGGAACGTGTCTGACTAGTGTGTTGAGCGTCCCTCCCGTGCGTCGCAAGTGGTCCCGAAGTGAGAGCAAGTTACGTAGCACGAGTGTATGTCAGGCCGTTGCTTGTTGTGATCCTTGCTGTTGGTTGTGCTAGCTAAAAAGGTGACCAGAAGACTCCTTCTCACGCTTGCTTTGGTACCCAGGGACTGTAGCAAAACAGGCATCTGCTACATGCGCCTGTGTTGCTGCGCAACACCCATGACACTGCTAGGATATCGTCGGGTGTAAATCGAGACCCCATATTTGAGGGTGCGGTACCAGCCAGAGACACGCTCCAGCCATCAGAGTTCTACTGCCCAAATCTGTGGCTGCCGTTGGCATCAAGCATTTTCCGGCATTTTCAGTGTTGCCGGTAGAGGCTCTCATTCGAAGAATATACAATAATGAACAAACTAAACGTCAAATAACTTTAGGACAAAAAAATTGGCCGCATCTCCACGTGGTGAATGATGTTGGTTGGTGCGAAGCTCTGGTGGTGCTTGTCTGTGCAGACGCTGAGCCGCAGCATGCCGAGCCTTTCGTTCGTTTTCATCCATGTCAGAAAGGGAATGTGTGGTATGGAACGTGATTATATACGCATTTGAGCATTTGACCGCAGCGCCCTCTCGTCTATAGACGTTGAGCCAATGCATGCAAAGTCTAACGCGATTATATACGCGTTTGACCGCAGCGCCCTCCCTGTATAGACGTTGAGCGGCTACATGCAACGTTTCATCCATGATATCCGCAGATCTTGAGTTACTCCCACATGTCGTCCCGCAGTAGTGGCCGAGTGGTTAAGGCGATGGACTAGAAATCCATTGGGGTCTCCCCGCACAGGTTCGAATCCTGTCGACTGCGCAAACATTTTTTTCCATCACCTTTTTTTTTTATTTTTTGCCTTACACGAGCACCAGCAAGATGGATGTGAGCACGGACGGACAAGGCGAGACCCTAAGGAGCCCCTAAAAATATTTGGCGCAATATTTTGTTCTTAGCTTGGCCAAGTATGCTGGTGTGTAGAGACAGTTTTGAGGCAACTCCATGAGGAATGGCCGAGTTCCACTGATCCCAGTGAGTGGCTCTAGCAGGTTTCGTATTGGGGACATTTCCAGATGACGGGGCGATCGAAGAGGATGCCGAGGTTCAGTTTGAAGGTGGGTAAGCGAGGAGGAGGATCCCTCCCAACAATCTGAGGGTCTCAGTGGGAACATGGTCAATGACATGCTAAGAACCAGCAGGAACCCACAGGCTACCCTCTAGTTTTGAGAAAATAGTGCTGCTTGACATTGGCAAGATTGGTTTTAAGTGCTACCAATGTTTTTTGCACAATCCCCCAGAGTGGTGATAGGAAATCGCAGAGTGTAAGCTAATTGGCGACGAAATCATACTTTTGGTTCTAGGCTAGCTAAAGCTGGGTAGGTAAAGAGCTTGGAGAGCATTGCCAGAACCCGGCGTTTTCGGCTTTGCATCACCCTCCTGTGCTCAGTCTTGAAAGAAAAGTTAATCCATGATGAGATCGAGGGAATGAGGGGAAGTGATTGGCACTGATAGGAATTTCTTTGAGGGGCACTTGCAGTTGGGTTCTTAGCCTGTCACCGACGATAGAAGCTTGTTCCTAGACTCTAGGGAATTCGAGCTTGAATAATTAATACTGCCGTTTATTCGAGGAATGATAGATGCATTCTTGAGTCACTTAAAATGACAGGCTACTCCAAAACATATTTTTATACAGCTCACTTAATGTTTTATTTTTCGCACTATTAATGCAACATTTATGCCGCATGCAACTTTAATATGGATCCAGCATATGGGTCACCTTATTGTACTTTTTCTCGCCTTTACTCAGCATACAGAAAAGAGGTATGCAGTTGTACCTCTCCCCTATTCACTGAAAGGAAAACGAAAGAAATTACTTGTTTGGTGCCCACAGGGACATTAGCTTCCAAACTTAGGTAAAGGTTTCTAACTGGGACCACTTCAAATCACAACTGGGGTTTTACTGGGATTCAGTGGGGAACAGCTGAGGTGTCAATGGAACCATTTGAGGGGTCAGCGGGATCATTTGAGGGGTCACTGGGACCATTTGATGCGTCAACGGGACAGTTTAATGGGTCAGCGGGACCGTTTGAGGGGTCAGCGGGACCGTTTGAGGGGTCAGTCGATCTGTTTGAGGGGTCGGTCGATCCGTTTGAGGGGTCGGTCGATCCGTTTGAGGGGTCGGTCGATCCGTTTGAGGGGTCGGTCGATCCGTTTGAGGTGTCGGTCGATCCGTTTGAGGGGTCAGTCGATCCGTTTGAGGGGTCAGTCGATCCGTTTGAGGGGTCAGTCGATCCGTTTGAGGGGTCAGTCGATCCGTTTGAGGGGTCAGTCGATCCGTTTGAGGGGTCAGTCGATCCGTTTGAGGGGTCAGTCGATCCGTTTGAGGGGTCAGTCGATCCGTTTGAGGGGTCAGTCGATCCGTTTGAGGGGTCAGTCTATCCGTTTGAGGGGTCAGTCTATCCGTTTGAGGGGTCAGTCTATCCGTTTGAGGGGTCAGTCTATCCGTTTGAGGGGTCAGTCTATCCGTTTGAGGGGTCAGTCGATCCGTTTGAGGGGTCAGTCGATCCGTTTGAGGGGTCAGTCGATCCGTTTGAGGGGTCAGTCGATCCGTTTGAGGGGTCAGTCGCTCCGTTTGAGGGGTCAGTCGCTCCGTTTGAGGGGTCAGTCGATCCGTTTGAGGGGTCAGTCTATCCGTTTGAGGGGTCAGTCGATCCGTTTGAGGGGTCAGTCGATCCGTTTGAGGGGTCAGTCTATCCGTTTGAGGGGTCAGTCTATCCGTTTGAGGGGTCAGTCTATCCGTTTGAGGGGTCAGTCTATCCGTTTGAGGGGTCAGTCTATCCGTTTGAGGGGTCAGTCGATCCGTTTGAGGGGTCAGTCGATCCGTTTGAGGGGTCAGTCGATCCGTTTGAGGGGTCAGTCGATCCGTTTGAGGGGTCAGTCGCTCCGTTTGAGGGGTCAGTCGCTCCGTTTGAGGGGTCAGTCGCTCCGTTTGAGGGGTCAGTCGCTCCGTTTGAGGGGTCAGTCGCTCCGTTTGAGGGGTCAGTCGCTCCGTTTGAGGGGTCAGTCGCTCCGTTTGAGGGGTCAGTCGCTCCGTTTGAGGGGTCAGTCGCTCCGTTTGAGGGGTCAGTCTATCCGTTTGAGGGGTCAGTCTATCCGTTTGAGGGGTCAGTCTATCCGTTTGAGGGGTCAGTCTATCCGTTTGAGGGGTCAGTCGATCCATTTGAGGGGTCAGTCTATCCGTTTGAGGGGTCAGTCGATCCGTTTGAGGGGTCAGTCTATCCGTTTGAGGGGTCAGTCTATCCGTTTGAGGGGTCAGTCTATCCGTTTGAGGGGTCAGTCTATCCGTTTGAGGGGTCAGTCTATCCGTTTGAGGGGTCAGTCGATCCGTTTGAGGGGTCAGTCGATCCGTTTGAGGGGTCAGTCGATCCGTTTGAGGGGTCAGTCGATCCGTTTGAGGGGTCAGTCGATCCGTTTGAGGGGTCAGTCTATCCGTTTGAGGGGTCAGTCTATCCGTTTGAGGGGTCAGTCTATCCGTTTGAGGGGTCAGTCTATCCGTTTGAGGGGTCAGTCTATCCGTTTGAGGGGTCAGTCGATCCGTTTGAGGGGTCAGTCTATCCGTTTGAGGGGTCAGTCGCTCCGTTTGAGGGGTCAGTCTATCCGTTTGAGGGGTCAGTCTATCCGTTTGAGGGGTCAGTCTATCCGTTTGAGGGGTCAGTCTATCCGTTTGAGGGGTCAGTCTATCCGTTTGAGGGGTCAGTCTATCCGTTTGAGGGGTCAGTCTATCCGTTTGAGGGGTCAGTCGATCCATTTGAGGGGTCAGTCTATCCGTTTGAGGGGTCAGTCGCTCCGTTTGAGGGGTCAGTCTATCCGTTTGAGGGGTCAGTCTATCCGTTTGAGGGGTCAGTCTATCCGTTTGAGGGGTCAGTCTATCCGTTTGAGGGGTCAGTCGATCCATTTGAGGGGTCAGTCTATCCGTTTGAGGGGTCAGTCGCTCCGTTTGAGGGGTCAGTCTATCCGTTTGAGGGGTCAGTCTATCCGTTTGAGGGGTCAGTCTATCCGTTTGAGGGGTCAGTCGCTCCGTTTGAGGGGTCAGTCTATCCGTTTGAGGGGTCAGTCGATCCGTTTGAGGGGTCAGTCTATCCGTTTGAGGGGTCAGTCTATCCGTTTGAGGGGTCAGTCTATCCGTTTGAGGGGTCAGTCTATCCGTTTGAGGGGTCAGTCTATCCGTTTGAGGGGTCAGTCGATCCATTTGAGGGGTCAGTCTATCCGTTTGAGGGGTCAGTCGCTCCGTTTGAGGGGTCAGTCTATCCGTTTGAGGGGTCAGTCTATCCGTTTGAGGGGTCAGTCTATCCGTTTGAGGGGTCAGTCTATCCGTTTGAGGGGTCAGTCTATCCGTTTGAGGGGTCAGTCGATCCGTTTGAGGGGTCAGTCGATCCGTTTGAGGGGTCAGTCGATCCGTTTGAGGGGTCAGTCGATCCGTTTGAGGGGTCAGTCGATCCGTTTGAGGGGTCAGTCTATCCGTTTGAGGGGTCAGTCTATCCGTTTGAGGGGTCAGTCTATCCGTTTGAGGGGTCAGTCTATCCGTTTGAGGGGTCAGTCTATCCGTTTGAGGGGTCAGTCGATCCGTTTGAGGGGTCAGTCGATCCGTTTGAGGGGTCAGTCGATCCGTTTGAGGGGTCAGTCGATCCGTTTGAGGGGTCAGTCGCTCCGTTTGAGGGGTCAGTCGCTCCGTTTGAGGGGTCAGTCGCTCCGTTTGAGGGGTCAGTCGCTCCGTTTGAGGGGTCAGTCGCTCCGTTTGAGGGGTCAGTCGCTCCGTTTGAGGGGTCAGTCGCTCCGTTTGAGGGGTCAGTCGCTCCGTTTGAGGGGTCAGTCGCTCCGTTTGAGGGGTCAGTCTATCCGTTTGAGGGGTCAGTCTATCCGTTTGAGGGGTCAGTCTATCCGTTTGAGGGGTCAGTCTATCCGTTTGAGGGGTCAGTCGATCCATTTGAGGGGTCAGTCGATTTGTTGGAGGGGTCAGGCGGTTTAAAGGGATGGTGAACCGAAATTTGGGTTTCAAAAAAACAATGCTGGAGATGTAGGCGGGACGCTACAATCCCTACAACACTACTAGTAAGGCGACATCTCAAATGGACGGCCATATTTTTGGAAAAAGAAGTCTAGATTGAACCAGGCCGATGAGGCGCGTGACGTCAAGATACCTAGTTTCCTCCTCTCTTTGCTTCGCTGCCTCAAGACTGCGAGGCGGAGAAGACGCGAGGCCGTTCCCTCTCCTTCTCGGAGAAACATGACGTCAACATTCCTGCCAAATGCGCCTCTTTTTTTCGAAAAATATGGTTATCCGTTTGAGATATCGCTGTATGAGTGATGTTTTGGTGTTTGTAGCATCCGTTGCACGCTTTTGCCGTGTGTTTTGGGGAATCCAGATTTCGGTTCAGCCTCTCTTTAAGAGGTCAATGGGATCATTTGAGAGGTCAGTGGGATCATTTGAGGGGTCAATAGATCATCCGAGGGGTCAATGAGAGCATTTGAGGGACCAACTGTGATCAGATGGGAGTCAAGTGATCTCACTATTTCCAGTTAAAAAAAGAGCTCATTTTGAGCTCATAAGTTTTTTTAAGTTATAATGTGCCTTGCTGCACTTAATTTATTTTTGGGAAAGGTGAAGTTTCTGATGTATGTATTATATCCAGGCAGTTGAAAGGGGGGGGGGGGGGACATAAACGTAAATTCTTAATTTTTCAGAAATTTTGTTTTTTTAATTTTGAAGTTTTTGGTTTTAAAAACTAATTATACACCTTTACACTAAATTTGATAACGATACGCCAAATAGTTACTTATATATAAAATATATTCGGCACACTGTGAGGCAGCGACAAAGTGAAGGAGCTCAATGTTTCAATGCATTTTTCTCAGTACCACTTTTCGCTGCCAATTTCATACGAAGGAATATTTTGTTAGAAGGTGAAAGTATTCCGATACCACCATCAACATGTTTCTGAGCTGAAATTTACTGGGGAATCGGGCTATCCACTTTATTTTGTTTTAAGTTGAAGTCCTCAGTGATAAAAGCTGTGTTTTCAAAAATTGATGTAGGACAGATAGATGTGCATATCATATTTCGAAGTAATAACTCCACGAAATATTTACATTTGAAATATTAAAAACTAGATAGCCCAAAGTCCCATACCCCCCACTTTATATTCGAGCAGTCAAAAAATGGTGCTTAATAGCTTCATTTGCTCATCATAGATTTCCTAACAAAGAGTGGCACATCTTCTTACGCAGGTATACAGATCTGTCCTAAAGAGCTGAAAGTTTGCACCTACATCTGAAGTTAAATCTGCCCTGCAAATTTCATTTCCTTGCGCAGCTCACAAGTTGAACCTCTGACCGGTGTTAAAAAACATGTTTTCTTAGAGTATCCCTCGAATGTCTCACAATCATCTGCCATGTTCTTAAAACTGCGGGAAAGGTCTGCTTGGTACACTGCTCACTGATCTCTCCCAGTTGCAGATGCCCAGAAAGTGGCTGCGTCACCTGCTGCCTTTGCGCCAAGCGCCCCAAGACCACCATCGGGACAGGCAGCCCAGGGCACGCACTCCATTCGCACCCTCTTCCCCGAAACTTGGCTCTGGCAGATCAAAAGAGTCGGGTGAGCTCAAAGTCTTTGGAAGAAAACAGAAAAAACACTCATTCACAGCATCAAGTTGCAGTCGGGAGCTGATTGTATGCTTAGCCACGCACTTTGGTTGGCAAAGCACAGGGTTCCACGGATTGTTCGGCCATTCGCGTAATTGCAGTGATTGGGCCACTAACCGAATGCGTGTCAAGGATGTCACGAGACCTAATGCTCAAGTAGTGGTCGTGTCCAGCGTACAATTAAATATTAAATTAAGCCAGTGACTTAAATTAGTATTAGTATTAAATTAGTATTAAATTAAGCCAGGCCACACACACTGACACGGTAGCACGCACCATACTCGCGAACTACCCACATAATACAAAGTAGTTGTCTTGACAGCAGGAGTCTGCCAAAGTAGGGCGACCCTCTGTAGATGAGACATTCAGCCAGTGACTGCTAGCCTGGGTTCTTTAACGGGCCTCACCGATGCACACCGGTACGATGCTCATCCAGATCGAAACTACTTGCACGCCCGAATGACTTGCTCCAACGACTCGGTTGAAGAGGAGATAGGTCCAGTCGAAAGACGATTAAAACGTAAAAAGACAACAGGCGACTTGCTTTCGCCTCTTGGCGCTTCCAGATTTCGCCACTGCAGAACAAACGCACCTTTTTGTTTTTATTTTGATGTTTTCTTTTTTCCTTGAGGGATTAGCGGCAAGAAAAGAGAATACATGAGGCCCTTCAGCCTTTCGGCATAGTCAGATATACTGCGTTTTATGTTCCTATGTACGGCGATGGATGCTACGAGCTACACGAACCAATCCCTAGTTTGTAGCTTGTCTCGTGACGCGCTTCCCGCATCATTCCGCCGAACCAGGACGACACGTCACACCTTCCAAGCCAGAAATTGGCTCCGGTGGCTCGTAGCATCCTTTGCAGTCCATCGTACCTCCATGCCGACTTGCCAACGTCAATTCACAATGCATATTTTTTTTCAACATTATGGATCTGTCTTCGTGTCGTAGGTGCCATTTGTTTAGTCGAAACTGAACCGCTGATGCCACTGTCTGGAAGATTAAATTTACCTCGCGCCGCCACCCGTAAGAAGGTGCAGCTGACATTTCATTTCGTCGAACCGTTTCCAATGAACCGCCATATGAAATGCCAGTTCTTTTCCGGTTGGGGTGCAATATCGAATGTTTGATTTTGGTGAGAATTTTTTCCGGTTCATTTAAAGGGGCCCTGCAAGGACTTTTTACTGTTTTTTAATTTGCACCGAACCTGAGCGCACTGAACATAGTAACTTAGTGAAACCTTTCTTTTCGCGAAATTCGCTTTATTTTAAAAGTTATAGGCAATTTAGAATTACAAAAACAAGCAAAAAATAACCTTATTCATGACGTCGTAGGTCCTGGCTTGAGTGGCCGTGAACTAGAGGAGGAATAGTGAGCTCATCGAGCGCTCACGGCCGCCGCACTCCGTGTTGACGGCGCCAGAGGGCGCCACTAAAGCATGTTCTGGATAGGCTGTATGCAGCGGGCAGCCAAAGCGGCTTTCATTGCGTTTGCTGCGCGATTAAACACTAATTCTGCATGACACTTCATTGGCCACAAACGACAGCAAACATGGGGTAAAGATCAGTTCAGAATGGGAGCCCACTTCGCGCTGTTATACCGCGAAACGGCCAAACCGCAAGACAAAGCCTCTCGCGGAAGGCCTTCGGAACGCTCGGAGCCGGTCGGATCCTCCTGTCCATACGACTGCAGCGCCACCGCGTATATCCGAATTTTTCCGTGTCGGCGCCTTATCCCACTACTCTTTTCTAGTATGCGCCGCCTTTTCCACCGCTTGGCGGTGGGTATGTTGACGGGTCATTTCTTGTTTCCGTACTTTATAAACTGCATTTCTTTTTTTTTTTTCATCTATAATAGTGAACAAAAACTACTTTTATAAATAACTGAAACGGTTCGCACCACTTATATTTTGTATTTTGACCAAAAAGAAGTTTTTAGTGGCTCTGACCAGTAGTAAGCCCAGGACCAAAGACGTCACATTTTGCGCGCTTTCGGTACCGTGGGTCGCCCTCGTCGGTGGAGGAGGTTTCCGTGTCGTCCGGTTAAAATATGGCGCACTGATATTTAACTACTACTTCCGTGCCCGCTGGCTTGCCCGAACCCCAAGAGACATTGAAACCGCAAAAAAGGTAGATGCTTAAATATGATTGCAGGGCCCCTTTAAGGGAGGATGCGAAGAAGAAAAAAAACTTTTTTGTTTTTAAAGTTATTGGCATGAAACTTGCAGACTAGGCTGGTATAGGGGCCCTAATAACCACTGCAATGTTTGACTCAATTATGCCTGTTGGATTTCGAGAAACACCAGTTTTGCCAATCCCGAGATATTTCTAAAGCACAGTAGCAAAGTGAAATTCACTGGACAAGTGCTTGAATATATACTAAAGGGGGAGACAGAGCCCTTTTTATAAATATCCTTCAGGAACGGCTTTAGTGAAAGTTCGAATGTTCATGTTACCAAATTCGCAAATAAGTACAAAGACATTTTATCGCTTAAAAAAAAAAATTACACTTTATTGCAGAAACTGAGATTGTTATGCCCTTCTAGCACTCTCTGGCGCCAAAATAAAAAAAGACTGCATACAAATCGAGCCACTAGTTAAGAAAATATCAATGGCAGAAACAGTCACGGCTCAAGAAAAAGCGTTCCTGAGAAAAAGAGTCTGAAAGTTCGAGGCACGACAAAAGTGTCAGAAGGAACCCGCAGCATAGTCTTGTGTGCTGTGTTGCAACCTCCTCTTCTGGTGTGCTTCGGTTTTTGCACCGTGGCGTTTGGTGGCCTTGTGTAAGCAAAGGGAGTCCTTCTCCGAAGCACGCCAGAGAGCCAGGTGCGCAGGCTGCAGGTTCATGGCACTGGACATCTCTACGTGTGCCCTAGCACAGCCGGCATTAAACCTGACGACTGCCTCATGCAGCGCAGTCTGTACCGACACCAGTGAGGCGTGCTGCTCCTTCGGCATCAAGGCCCACAATACAGAGTGGAAACTCTCCGCAGCATTTTGCGTCTTGGCTCCCAAGCAGCGTTCAAGAAGCGATGTCTGCGACAGACGCTCATACACAGGCAGCATGGCTTCAGCAACGTAGTCGGGCAGGCTGTACTTGTGTTTGGCTTGTGGCTGTCCCTTTGCCTCGGTGACCTTGTTCCGGCACCAGGACTCCGGTCCGCCTGGACAAAGGTCGTGCTTTGGGTCTTCATCCGTTGAAGTCACATGGTAATATGTGGCCATCACGGCACGCTTCATGGCTTCCACATCGTTACTATGGCTTCTGATGGCCCATCCGTAATACCCAGTCAGCCTCTCCATGAGCGCCTTTGTGAGGCGGCCCTTTCCTCCAAGAGGCTTGTCGCTCTTCTGCAAGAGCTTCCGCAGAGCAGTCCCCATACGTTTTTGTACATGGTTGAGGCACTCCTCTTTCTTTATGGAGAGAAACCCTTAGGTCTTGTCTTCAACTTGAGCACAAAAAGTTCTGCTGTCTTCGTCAGATATTAGTGTCGTGTTGCGCAACCCATGTTTCTCCAGAGAGCGCCCAAAAATGGCGAGTGCCGCATCAACCTCCATTCTTCCCGAGTTTGCATCGGTGTTTTTCTGGCACTCGTGGTTCTGATGCCACTCAGGGTACCTCTCCCAACTTGGGTCCAGTCTGGCAGCCGTGACACAGATTGGAGAGAACCTCAGCATCTAGGATGAGGCTAGTGTCACACTCGATCACGCTCCCGACACCAACATGGGAGCTGTAGCCTCTCTTGAGCCATGTGCCGTCATAGACGACAGCAACATCCTTGGTGCAGGTGGGGTTCATTTCCCTGTATGCGCTTTTTACACCAGCGGCTGACTCAGTGTAGATCTTCTCGGCAATAGCTGCAGCCGACTTACTAACAATGTTTTTCAAGTGATCTTGGTAGGTCTTGTGGTGGAGCCCTCTATGTGATACATTCATCACTGCCCAGAAATCATTCAGGGCAGTCTGACCCTTGCCAATGCTTCTGATTGCCGAAATCGCTCTCAAATTCACATCAAATGCGTTGGAGTCGACCTTGCGCGGGGATGACCAGGTGTGAGTCACGACTTCGCAGAGGGGGCACACAAGTTCAAGCTTGACGGCAAGTCCCAGAGCGGTCGATTCCTGGATTCTTACACCCGTCGCCTAACAGCTTTGGCGGACTGTGTAGCCAAGAAGCTCATCTATAGTGTCAAGCTGCACAATCGTGAACTTCGCCGATGAGCTTGTCGCGATAGCGGGGGCTTGCTGAAGCAGCTCAAACTTCCTTTGTGTCGCAAACACGGAGGCAAGCTTCGCACGTACGGCATCACAATGTTTGGTTGTCGCATCAGCTTCCTCCTGTGACACGTACTGCGTCTCTAGATGAACAGTCGTGTTCTCCATTGTGGTTCCAGACGCACAAGAAACAATGTTTTCTTCAACAGCGGCAGTCGATGAACACGCAGGCGCGGTGATCTCGGGCTCACTCCTCGTGGCGATCGTCGGGTCGAGGCTCGATTTCGCTGCTCTGACTTGCTTCATCCGGCGCTTACATGCTCCATACGCATATCGAGTCTTGCTCTTATACTTGCTCCTCCACATTGCAGAAAAAGAAGCGTGAAAAATATGCGACACGATCGAAAAATGTAAACAAAGGCGACGAGAGCAATGGAGGAAACTTGCGGATAGCAGACGACAAAAAGCGGAGCGGACAAGGAAGAACGCCGGAGATACCGAGCGCGGAGAAAGAGAACGAGCGAGGGGGAGAGGAGGAACTTGCTCGGAACTGTCCGGAGCCTCTTAGCACCAATAGTACAGCCCGATTTTCCGAATGCGCGCATCGGCCAATCACGGCGCCGCACTCCTTTGGCGGGAAACCTCACGAAACGGCGTTGCCTCGAGCGTGACGCCAGTTTGAAAGGTTGCGAAAGAGAAAGCAAGAATAGACCATTTGTGATATCTCCCAAGTGCCCCGGCCCGCGCTAAAAGAATCATGGGAACGGCCCTCAGCCCATTAGTGATCGGCAATTTCGACCCTATTCTTGGCTACACAGGTTTTCATTGTAATTCGGAGTCACCCTGAACATGCGCCTAATATACTTCAATGACCTGTCATATCGCTTTTAAGATTTCTCCTCAATGTCAGCGTTTTTGATACTGTGCGTGCTGTCCACCCTTCAACCTGGATGGGCTGCAGAAATCTCTTACATTATTATCATGCTGGTATTAATTTATAAACGCTAAAAATGCTATAAACAGCCCCGCAGACTCCGAGCTAAATCCTGCTTTTTGTTGTTGCGAATTATCGGCTTTTTAAGCAACTCCTGCTCGGACAACAATCACGAGAATTATAATATTGTAAGAGATTTCTGCAACTCAGCCAGGTTGAAAGGGTCTGCATGTGCAGTATAAAAAATGCTGGCGTTGATGAGCAAATTTAAAAGTAACATGACAGGTCCTTGGGGCATATCAGGTGCTTGTTCAGGGTGACCTCGAATTACGCTCAAAAACTATGCAACTGTGGACTTGGTCCAAAATTAGCGATCACTAGGGAGCTGAAGGAACACCATTCCTATGATTCCTTGAGTGCGGGCTGGGGCGCTTGGGAATACTGCAAATGGTCTATTCACCTACAAAACAACACCAAGATGGCTGCCGTCCGGTAAACGGTTCGGAAACGCGCAAATCTGAACTCAATTTGGTTGATAGATCGGCACTTTGCGACCGCGGAAGCATAGAAAATGCGTTGTTACAGGTATTTATATGGTGTTTTGAGCTTTAATATGTACAGCAGAGATGGAGAAAGGCACGAACAATCCAAATATCAAATTTTTGAAAAAGTGATTTTTTTCACGATTTTTTGCTTTTCAAGACCCGTGTCCTCCCTTAAACGTAACGCTTTTACTCCGGTTTTCAGTAAGGGTTCGGTTCGACACTCTAGCTAAAAGCTGCTTGCTAATTGCGCATGTCGCGTACCGCGGTGCCAGAAACGACACCTTGTCCGTCCATTTTTTGGTTGCTTCAGCTAGTGCGTGCCATTTTCATGCTCGAAGGAGCATAAGCCAGTGAGACGTTCAAATAATCCGTCACCTCCAGTGCAATGAAGCTGTAGCAAGTTGACATGCTCTAGCGAATTGCGCCATCAGCCCGTTAGCCCTAGAGGGAAGTCGACACAGCTCGCAGAAGAACCGAGCCCATTCCCACTCCATTCCGGGCGCACGTAATTCCAGTCCCCCCAGCACTGCCGCCATTCTATTCCGGGGTCACGAAAGTGCGGAATGATTTCCCAGCTCCGGAGTGGCAACTCCGTAACACTGTTGCATAGGCTTTACCTCCCCAAAGGTACTCGAGTCTATAGCTACATGAATTTCGGAAACCTTCCAGGACTGCTCAGTAGAGGGGCTAGTGTGACAGTGTGTTCCCTCATTGTAAGCGTTTCCATGTGGCTGCGATGGAGTTGGTTGCACTCGACTCCAGATCTGTGAGCCAGCCTTTACGCAGAGACTTGTGAACACTGCAGTGTGAGGAATGGTGGCCCTAAAAAACGGTATATGAGTATTCGTTGCTTTGCCAAACTCTCTATGGCATTCAGATATTCACAATGTGACTTGGCCATCGCTGCGCAATATTTTATATTTTTGGTGGGTGACAGAGTGTCGGAGTTTGAGAAGCGCCGGTCTGCTGCAACAGCATTGTCCCATTTGCTTCCTATCTACGGGGACTACAACCGGACTTTTGTGTTGTAGGGAGGACGGCCAGTTGGTGTACGAGGAAACTCTTCCAGACACCATCACCCGCTGGGAGGGCAGCGCACTGTGCCTGCACCCAGAGGCCGGCTTTGGCATCTCGCAGCTGGCCAATGTGACTGGCTTCCAGCCCCTGTTCGTCAGCCTCACACTGCCCCAGTTCATGAAGCGTGGCGAAGTGGCCAACGTCATCCTGACTGCGTTCAGCTACGTCGACAAGTGTGTCGCTGTAGGTTGGCTCTGATTTTAGTTAGGGTTCTATAATTTCGGGATTTATTTTCCTACGAATTTAATAGTGTTTTCTCGATTCTTTTTTTTTTGCACGAACAAGAATTTTTTGGGGTTAATTTCCTGTGTTGACAAAACATTTGGGTTTCTCAGAGTTTATGTTAAAGAAAACGGGGCAGGGGCATTGGATTGCCGAACCGCCGGGGACTGTATGCGTGACTGAAATACTGGGCTCTCAGTACTGGGAAGGAGATTTTATTTATTTATTCATTGAAATAACCCCGCCCGTGAGGGCATTATAGTGGGGGAGGGACAAATACAAAATGACGCCAAACAATACTTAATTGCTTAAACAGTCAAAACTCAAAAGGTGACTTACCTGGAGCAATTAACACAAAAAAGAAAAAAAAAAAAAAAAAAAACACAAACTGGCGGTATGGTTCCCCCAAAAAAGAAGCAGCTTCATGGGCCCTCTGGCCGAATTGGAGGATTCTGACCGAACAGGAGCTAAATTTAATTGTTCTAGTCGAACTGGAGATTCAGCTGAATTGCAGCATTCTGGGCCAAGTGGAGATTCTGTTGAATTGGAGCGTTCTGCCCAAACTGAAGATGCTGCCAAATTGGAGCGTTTTGGCCAAATCGGGACATTCTAGCCAAATTCGGCATCCAGTTCAACTGGAGCGTTCTAGCTGAATTTGAGATTCTAGACAAATTGAGCCATCAGCCGAATGGACACTTGAGCTGAATTCAGATGACAAGTTTACTGGGAAGAAATAAGGTCGTAGGTAGAAACCTTTTTGTGTGAAGCTTGGGATTTTTCTTATAATTTGGGGTTTTTCGGTCTTCCCTGAGTTGGATAATACTGCCGTATTTACTCGAATGTAACGCAAGTTTTTTTTTTCAAATTTCCCTTACCTAATTTGGGGGTTCGCATTATAATCGAAACGCCTCAAAATTTTGCCTTGGCGGTGTCGCAGCACAGGCTTTTTAAAATGGCTACGACAAATCTCGCGATCTTTCAATCTTGTGCTGGCAACATATACACGCTGGAAACAGCCAATCCAATCCTATTCTTGTTTGCGACTCGTTGCGCTCATGTTAGGGTTACGGGTTACCTTCACAACGCTTTCTCTTTCTGTTAGGGTTACCGTACCATGTGCCCGTGGTGCCCATGTTTTGTGAGCTGCTGCTACGTGCTTCCGCGACTGGACTCGAGCAAATGGCGACGCGACGAGCTCAGTACGACGCCTGCTTTAAAAGAAGTGCAATTATGATGGCTGAGGAAATTAAAAGCTCTGCCGCGGCTCGACGGGTAGATGGAACAGAATCGACTATCCGTGGCTGGAGGCTCCAGCGTGAAGCGTTCTTCAAGTGTGAACCCGGCCGAAAAGGCTTCCGCGGACCACGTTATAGTACTTTTTTAAGGTACTTTTTTCCCCTCACTTAACTCGCGTTACATTCGTGTTCTTTTTTTTTTTTCCGCTGCGAAAAGTCGTCTTTTGCGTTACAATCTTGGTCGCGTTACATTCGAGTAAATACGGTACATTAGGGGTTAACTTTCAGTGTTTATCGGAATATACCGAAAAAAGAACCACTGGCAGTTCGGTCCTAGATTCGGTTACCATAGGTGTGAAAGAACATTGGAAGAAGAAAGGAATCGAGCGTTTTTTTATGATTCAGCTTGCTTGGGCTTTAAGCTAACTTGAGTATGGGTAAAAGTGGCTTAGTTTGAACTTGGCCATTATTGTCCATGGCTGGTGTTTGATCTAGAGTCTTCTTTTGATTTTTTTTTCATCTATTTTATTTTTTCTGGAGCGAGTATATTTTGCTTCGATGTCTTCTTTTGGGTGTGTTTTTTACTAGGGTTTTTATTGATATGTTCCTTTTAGGGCCAGTGACTCTTTTTTGCCATGATTTGGATATGACAGTTAAAGACAGTCCTAACAAATTAGATTAGAAAAGCGCCAGAAAACAAGGACGACAGAAGGGAATAGTTTGTCTATTCCTTCTGTTGTCCTTGTTTTCTGGTGCTTTTCGAATCTTAAGATGTACCAACTTGCCCAACTCCAGATTCGTCCTAACAGCTTGGCCACTGCCATAAACACTTGGCATTTGTTTGTGAAAAACCAAACTCTACTGTGCATGCCTTTACCAGAGTAGTTAACAAACATCATGACGGGCGCCACCACTATGCAGCTTTGAGCCGTTCTTTTCACATTGATTGAACATAAATAAATGACCAATGTTTTTAAGTACTCTGTTATGCTACTGGTTAATCCAAAGGAATCGGATATGAGAGTACCTTTGGTCATGCTGGCAACTTGTGTACACACACACAGCAGGTGGTCACTTTGCCACTATGAAAGATTCAAAGAAATAAGGCAAATTGATGAAAGCACATGCTAATTGTGACTCGTTCTGCTTGCTTCCTTTAGAACAGCTAATGCTGCAGCACGTGCAGCATGTGTAACTACACTCCCAGCATGCTTCTTCTTGATGCTTGGGTAATTTAGAGGGTGTACAAGGAAAGCTTGCAATCCAGGTGCGGGTCCATCTGGAGTCTGTCGGAAACCTGGAGGTTGGGAGCTCCCCCAACACGACGGACGCACTGCTCTGCCCCGGGGGCTCGGCATCCTTCACCTACGGAGTCAGGGCAACCAAGCTGGAGACTGCGCGCCTCAGGGCCACGGTTGCCACGCGTCTGGACGCCCAGAGCGACTATCCGGGCACCGACCTCTACAACGTCAACTCGAGCGACACCGTGCTGCAGACCATCCAAGTTCGGGTGAGATTTAGGTGTCCTTGAAATGCGAGTGCTGTTGAGGGAGCACTGAAGTGGATTTTGGGGCTGTTGTGGCATCATGTTACGTGTATCTAAATGTTATGCATTTCGATCCACACGGGCAAGACATTTCTGTAGGCTCATATAATGTTATTGCTTTGATAGTTCTGTGGGCTTTTCGCTCACTAGAAGTGCGACCAAACATTGTGCTGTGCCACTTTACTGAGATATATATATTGTAAAAGTGGCATGTCATTGCATTTGGTCGCATTTTTGACAGGAAAAAAGCCCAGTCAGTCTTGTGATTTTGGGTTGCACGTGCAGATCAAGATTGGGCCATAGAAAGACAATGTTGGAGACTGCTTTAGTGTCCGTCCTGCCAGTCATAACCATTGCCTGTTTTATAGCCGTGCACTGTTGTTCCTAGTGGCCAATTCGTCTGGGCCCGCAACGGGCTCCACGGAAGGCTTCTCTCCCCGCCAGTTTTTTGCGTACTCAAGCGGAAAGAGTTTACTGCACTGGCCCCAGATAGGAGTGTTTGTGTTGCCTAAGCAATGTGTGTGTGATTTTTACTATTTCTATTCCATTGCAGCCGGAAGGATTCCCTGTCAGGGAAGTGGACACCTATCTGCTTTGTGCTTCTGGTAAGCTCATTTCACATCCGTTTGTTCACAGTACAGTAAAACCTCGTTAATTCAACCTTCGCTAATTCGGATAATTTATACTGCCGATCCCGGTCCCGTCAAACGTCTGTATTAGTCAATGGCACCAAACGCTCATTAATTTGGAGGGAACGGTTACGGTTAATTCGGACGAATTCGGCAGGTGGCGCAAGCTACCGTCCGTTCCAAAGGGTATGACCGTTACCCATCCGAGGTGCATACGTGGTTTTTCCAGTTTTCCCATGGTTCTTCGCTCTTCCAGTTCTCCGTGTTCCGCACCAGTTTCGCTCTGGATTGCTGCGCATTAGCGCGCTACTCTCCTGGCATGGAAACGGCAGAAGCAAAGCTGTGGAAAAAGAGTAGCGCAAGTGACCGGAGTGGCAAAATCGCGACACGCGGTGCGTTCCCGTGGGCGCCGATAGCGAGAGTCACGTCCATGCCTCAAGGCGGGGTGGCCGGCAGAAAGCAGCCCATCCTAAAGCCCGCCATTTTAACAGCTATCTCAATGTTTGGCCGGCCACCTTCGCGTTCAAACATGTGACGTGACTGGCGTTCTCACTATCGGCACGCTCGAGAAAAATAGCGCCGAGTGTCGCGATTTTGCCGCTCCGATCATCGGTCAGTTGTGCTACTCGTTTTTCCTTGCAGCTGTACCAGGCCTTAAATGTAGCGACGAAAGTGGAAATACTGAGGGCCTTGAAGGACGGCATCTGTCAACAACAAGGGATGGAAAGTTATGACGTCAAGAGAAGCACTTTGGCCATGTACGTGAAAATTGAGGCCAAGATCCTACAGGGTTTCGAGAGCGAGAAGTTCAACGCGAAAGCGGCTGTGGCAAGTGGTTTACCCGAAACTAGATGTGTTGTGCTAAATATCAGTGCACGGGATGTGTAGCTCTGACAGTGCGGTGGAGCACTTGATCGCACAAAGGAAAGTTGCCGTCTCCGCCCAAACGTTGTCCAGAAAGGAGGCGGCAGATTTCTCAAAATAAAGGTAGGTCACAGGGAAACATTTTTGCGCTGCTTTTGCCCACGAGATCCAAATTAACCCGAGGTTTTACTGTATAGCTTTTATTTTATAGCTTGTTGTTCCTTCAACATTTGCAGGGTACAGTATAGACCACTTACAATGTAACCGCTTATAGTGCAGGACCGTGTATAACGCGGCTTTTTTAACCCACCGGTTTGCCTCCCATAGAACTCCATGTAATTTCATACTGCTTAAAATGCAGGCGCGCAAAGGGAAATACCGGTTATAGTGCGGTTTCTCGAACAGCTCGCCGACCGCGCCGACACTAGATAACGGCGCTAGCCGCGAGCGGCACTCACGGGGCAAGGAGGTTGCTCGAAGAAGTGGGGAGAAGCGAAGAGGGAGGCTTCAGTTGCCATAGCGACGGAGGGACGCATGCACGTGTCGTTCGCGTGCGTGCGTGCGTGCGTCCCTCCGCTGTGTTGGAAACAACCGCAACGACAGACCAATCGCAAGTCGAGGAGAATTGTTCGCGCGCGTTGCATGCCGGTTGCGGGCCGGCTGCTTCTATCCGCGAACATGGCGTCGGTTGTGATCGTCGTCGTCATGGTCGTCGTAGATGGCATGGTGGAAGGTCATCGTTCCGCGTAAAAGCGCTATCCTTGACTGTGAATTTTCGTTGTGTGTTGCTATGATAACCCAGCACGTACTAGAAGGGAAGATTTACCTACTCGTGCGGCGATGTTGTGGCGACACTCTCAAGACGGCAGAAACGCCCGTGTCGTCGTGTTTGTTTATTTCGACTACAGTGGTGCTTTCTAAGCATTTGTGTTTTCGAACATCGCCCAGATTTCTTATTTGGAGCATTTCGTGCCTGTGCTCAAGTTGAAGGTATTACTGGCGCGTACCGTATAAAGGATGCGAATTTTCACGCGTTTTCATCGCCGGAGAAAAGTGATTAGGGTTAGCATTCCCGAACGCTCGCAACGTCCGTCCGCAGCCCGCGACGCCGTTAAAAGGCTGCGCCAGGCAAGAGTCGCTCATTTCTTTCGAAATGTGTGGCACACTTGAGAGAGAAGTGTACTAGTCTGGTGAAATAAAGACTTTCCTCAAACTAAGGTTTATTTTTCATCTAACATAGAAATAAATTATTTTAGAAAGGTAAGTTGTCTGATGGCATGTATTTTGGCCTGAAAAATTGATGTTTTGGTTATAGCGCGGTGCTGCTTATAGTGCGGATTTTCGCGACTCCCGCGACATACGTTATATGCGGTCTACACTGTATATTTTTATCGATGGGCTTTGAACAAGCCAGGTTTATAAAATAAGCAGGATAGTACAGTAATGCTCTATGTAGCATGTGCCGCAATCTTCCTACATTGACAAAATTTAACCTCTAAGTGCATCTTCAAAAAATGTCTGATCTTGATTGTGGAGCAAGTGAAATGCTGCCAAGTGTTGGCCTTAAAGGGGCACTACAGCACCTTATCTATAGTCTTTTTATGGTCTTAACTCAATCCATGAGCTCCGAGCGTCCTGAAAACCCAAACATTATATTTATGCATGGCAGATTTCTTTATTACAACCAATATCCAATGATTAATTGCCTCGGAACATTTGCCGACGCTAGATGACACTGTTGTACGAGGAGAGGGAGGGCCCTCCTTGTCCGCCATTTGTTGCCCATCATTTGACACCAAATTGGTCATGCGTGAATGTATGGCTTGGTCTTTTAGAATGCCCATGGATAGATAGAGTTATGGCTATAACTGCAGAAAGTGGCGCCCCTTTCACAGCTTTTGCTAAACTTTACGCAGGCAAATGTGTCGCCATCGCCAAAGGGATTGCGTGGGAACATGTTTTGAATTGTTGGTAGGGAAATGGGTGAAATTAAAGTGAGCTTTTCAATCTTTGGTCCACATTTTCTTCCTCACAGCACAAAGTTAACTTTGTCATGAGTAAACATCTTGTCTCAGGACTGTTCAACGGAAAGAGTGAATAAATACAGCGTGGGCCCAATTGATCACTTTAAAAATTGTAAACACTTGCACGCCCCGTAAGGTTGAAACGCAGCGACTGCTGAGGTGTAGGAGCTGCTAAGGTGTCATTTCAGAGCAGATGGATTGAATGGTAAAGGTGCAAGCGTGCACCATAGAGTCCGGATAGGCATTTCGTATGAAACCGAGAACACACTGGATAAAACTTTCCTAACGTTTGAAAACCAATGAAGGGGTGTTACGGAGAGTATTTCAGCTCTCTGAGTAAGAGGGGAGAATGGTTTTGGTATGTCATTTCGGTACAAATAGTCGCACGTGCTAAACGAAAAGTGCCGAATAAACAGGTACAAGGAAGTAGACAAGACAAGGTGCACTCTCCGATAAATGTCTATTGAAACAGACACACACTGTTTGCGTATTTCGGGCTATTCATCTAGAAAATAACTGTCAGGTGCATTGACAGGGCACTAATGCACTTGCTTTCTGGTACAGAATGAAATCCTGAGGCAGTTTTACAGTCTAGCCCGTTTATAACGAAGTCGGCGGGAATTGAAAATCTCTTCGCTATATCCACTATTGCGTTATATCTGAACTAAAGAAAAAAAAAAAAAATTGTTCACCTGGGGGAGCGTGTTTATTCCTTCTGCAAGAAGTCATCTAGGGTTCCCTGTTTGCGAGCGAGCGTTTAACGATCGCGGCCTCAAACTTGTCGAACTGCAGATCAAAGCTCGGATCGGAACCTCCGAAGTACGTTCGCAGCACGTCAACCGCAGCAACGGCTGCTCCCGAGGTCACTGGCTGCGAAATGCGACTGTCGTCACAATCGTCGTCGGAGGCAGTGTCATCGGCACTTTCGTCCACGACACTCTTGGCAAGGTCCTCGGTGGACACGTCCTCGGTAGCGACGATGTCGGCAAAGGCAAAGTCCATGTGATCCACGCCGGGAGGCACGAGGTCGACCTTGCTTGCCGTTTCCCAGAGCCGCTCCAAGCATGTCGCTGCTGCGTCACCATCGGCGGCTGCTGCTCAGTTTCCGGCAGGACTCTCGTCAGCACTGCTGCTCCTCGAAAAGCCACCTTTCTGGAAGCAGTGGAGGATGGTCTGTGGCTTAATGTTCCTCCAGGCTCCGCTCGCAAAGAATATGGCCTTCTCCAATGGGACCTTCAGGCTGGCTGGGTCAACGGCGGTGCGGATGTCAATCAGCAGGCGCTCGATCACTCGGTGCCAGTAGAGGAAGTTTGCAATGACCCCTTGGTCCATCGGCTGTAGCTTCAGGAACAGCACCTCGACAGCACTCAGATGAGCATTCACATGATGAGCGCTGCAGTTGTCCAACAGAAGCCTTGCGCTTCTTTTTGTCCATCGCCTTGTCGAAGTCGGTGAACCACTTTGTGAAGATGTCTCGCGTCACCCAGGCCTCCCTGTTATCGCGATACGCTACCGGCATGGACAGCACCTTAGCGAAGCCCCGTGGCTTCTTCGCCTTTCCTATGATCAGCAGATCGCGCTTGTCCGAGCCGTCCATGTTCGAACAAACGAGCACCGTAATGCGGTTCTTGCTATTCTTGCCTCCCACACACTTGTCAGTCTTGGCTGCCAGTGTTTTTGCTGGTAGCAGCTGAAAAAACAATCTGGTTTCATCGGCGTTGTAGATAGATGCACAGCCCAGCAGCAGAGTGCTGGGCTGTGCAGTTTTCGAGAATGAGGCATATCTTTGCTTGCCTGTCGTCCCATTCCTGCAGCCATTGTGCAAAAAATTATCTAATCATCCAGGCTTTGCGGTTCATAAGTAACGTCAAGTTTCCCTTAAAAACATTGGGGTGACTCACTTTTGCCGACAACGAGGGCTGGCAACTTTTCAGACCCGTCCATGTTAGCAGAAAGCAACACAGGCACGAAGCGTTGCAGCCGCTTGCCACAAGATTGTGGTGTCCCATTCTGCAGGCCCTCCTGTGCAGCAGTGCTCCACTCACAGGACTTGCATCCACAAACCGTCTTCTCTACAGCTTCCAAGGCCTCGCAGCTCCTTTGTGTCGCCTTTGACGTTACGCACTGGGGACGGCTTGCTTGCTGCTCAAAATTGGGGACAGCGTGCTCAACACTATGCCGAAATCCACTTTTTTCTTTTTCACACCTGAGTCGAATGGCTTTAAGCATGGCCGCCTTTTGCTCGATGAAGATTGTTTTACGCTTTTGCTTGCCGCTGCCATCGTCCGTCTTGCTTCTTTCAGACGGCAGTGGACGGGTATATGCGTTCCACTAGAAGGGGAGGCCGGGAAACTCATGCATGTTGCCAGGCGACTTTTAGCCATTTTAGCGCACGGGAGTTTGCGGCTTATAGTGTGTGGGAGTTTTGAATTATCGCCTCGTTATAACCAAGTTGGACAGGGAGCTTGAATTCTACTTCGTTATAGCCATTTAGTTCTCGAAAAGATGGTTCGTTATACCCATTGCAAGGAAATTTTGCTTCGGTTAAACAAAGCTTTAAATACATGGGTTTCTATGGTAATTTCAAGGGGAATTACGATTACTTTGTTGTATCTATTAGTTGGTTATATTCCATTTCGTTAGAACGAGGTTTTACTGTATAGGTATGTGGGATAATCTTATAAATCAACTGTGCTTTATCAAATCTCGACCAAAGAAAGGTTACCGTATTTACTCGGGTAATAGCCGCACTGTTTATGAAGAAAACCTGAGGCTTTGCTTTTCCGCGGAGCACACAGTTTGCCAATCACCGCGATCGACAGCATGATTTTAGCAGTTTACAGGACAGAGATGACGTCTCTGTGCGAAGATGCCATCTGTGAAGATTGCATTTGTATGGAGAATCGCGTTCCGGATCTGGCTATTCGCTATGTCTAAGCTCGTTATAACAGACTTCGATTTTGATCAAGACTTTGGCCTGTTGTAAAAGGAGTCTGTTGTATGCAGATAGGAGTCAATGGGGCATAGAGGAAAACCAACCGAACTTCACAAATCAGTATGTTATATCCAAATGTCTGTTGTGCGGAACGCAATGATTGGCTGTATATGTGTTCTGTGGGAAAGTAGACTCAAAGGCCTTGTTCATAAATAGTGTGGCTATTACTCGAGTAAATACGGTATCTATATGTTCAGCTGAATGTTTTGTATTAAAGGGATATGCATACACATCTTTTGTATTGTTTCAGTGAAAAATATACCAATGGTACTTGAGCCATTCGCTCTTGCGTTGGCCCCAATTGGCTGGTAGCATTAATAAATAAATTAATAGACTTTTTTTTTCTTCTTCCAGATGAAGCCGGAAGCAATGCTCCAAATAGTCTCAAGATCTCTCTCCCAACTCCAAATGCCCTCGTAGAAGATTCTGAGAAAGTCGTCCTTGTGGCCACAGGTAGGATCAAAGCTGACTCTAATGCTGTATGATCAGTTGTGGTAGCTTGTGCTTTCCTTTAAGCATATGTATGGCATGTCTACGGTTCGTTCAGTCAATTGGCGTGAACTTTGTGAAACCATCGTAAAAGGTGTTCCCAAGCTCGACGATGTAGAGATTCAAGTTTCAAAAACACAACATTGTATGAATTAATTTTTTACAGCAGAGCTGTTAAGGGCTAGTTTCCCCCGGATCGTGTCTGGTACCAAACCAATGTCAACACAACACTGGTTGCCGCTGTCGCTCATAGATGGCGCTAGCTGTTCAGTGTTGTGTTTGCCGGTTGTCTGCTTGCCACCATCGCTCCTAGATCTCGGCAACCTTTCCAGCCTCGGCAACCAGACAACTGGTTGCTGCTGTCGCTCGTAGATGGTGGCAACATTTCTTCGGAAGAAGAGCGGGAACAAGTGGCAATGTGCGGAGCAGCGCAAATGATACCGCAACCGGCGCAAGGTCGCTATCACCTAAAGTTCCACTGCGTCGAGAGTTTTAGATTCTCTTGCGAAAGAAGAGCAGATCGTTCGCCTCGAAAGCCCCACCGAGAACAGAAGCTCTGCTGCTCTTCCTTCTTCACCAGGATGAACATACTGCATTAGCCAAGTTTCTCCTTCATAAATGTATACACTAGTGTTTTTGATCCACAGGCATAAAAAAAATTTCTATTCATGGTGAAAGTAATAAATCTTAAGAAGCCATTAGGCCCGCTTCAGACGGGGCAACTTTTCCTGCAATTTTGAGGTTGCTGGCGGGTTTTTCCCTAGCTTTCTCTAGATCAACACTTATTGCTGAGATCGGTCCCGGCTTGAAATGGACTAGCAACTCGAAAAACTCTGGAGACGTTTAAAGCGGCAGCAGCCAATCAGGGACGCAATGTTTTCACTTGACACCCCTGTGGTGGCGATGACGACAGCTATAACATTGAACTGCGATGTTGTTAATTCTGAAACAACCATAAAAAATAACTTCATGTCTTTTATGATAATCACTCAAGTACAGCAAGGCTACTAATCTTCATTGTCTTATGTAGCGGTTCTTTCTTGCTGTTGTTTTCACTGCCTTGCAATGGCTCTCTAGCCTCAAAGCTGTTTTCACTACTTTCTCTGCCAGGGAGACCTAAACATTGTATAGGTCAGAAAATAATCTTGAACTTCTATATTGCAACTTTTATGGAATCAAGCATCTGGGAAGTTGCTTTGACCATTCTGGCCTGACCTTAGAACTACTTTCCACGCAGGAGACATCCTGGCTCTGGAAGTGAAAGACCTCTCCGTTCCCAAGCTGGTGTTCACCAGTGCTGAAGGAACACTGGCAGTCCTGGCATCGAGTGCCTACCTGCTCCGCTACCTGGAAGCCACCGGAGCTGACACTCCTGACCTCAGGTCCCAGCTGCTGTCGAGGATTCAGCAAGGTTTGTTTTTCATTTCTGAGTTGGCAGTGAATCGGTGGCAAGTGAATAGGTGGATAAACCGTAAAAAAATTTAAATAGAGGCAGGAACGGTTGAGAAAATTTGGGAGCTCGGGGAACTCCTGAGGGTGCTCTAAGGAATGTCCCTATGGGTGCTCTAAGGAACCCCTATGGGTGCCCTAAGGGACCCCTATGGGTGCCCTAAGGGACCCCTATGGGTGCTCTAAGGAACCCCTGATTGTACTCGGGGAACCCCTGAGGATACTCTGTCAATACTCTAGGGAATTCCTGAGACTGGGGAACCCCTGGGCGTACTGTGGGGAACCCCTGGGCATACTGTGGGGAATCCCTGGGCGTACTGTGGGGAACCCCTGGGCGTACTGTGGGGACCCCTGGGCATACTGTGGGGAACCCCTGGGCATACTGTGGGGAGCCTCTGGGAAACCCATGGGTGTACTGTGGGGAGCCCCTGGGTGTACTGTGGGGAGCCCCTGGGTGTACTGTGGGGAGCCTCTGAGGAACCCTTGGGTGTGCTGTGGGGAACCCCTGGGTGTACTGTGGGGAATCCCTGGGTGTACTGTGGGGAATCCCTGGGTGTACTGTGGGGAGCCCCTGGGTGTACTGTGGGGAGCCCGTGGGTGTACTGTGGGGAGCCCCTGGGTGTACTGTGGGGAGCCCCTGGGTGTACTGTGGGGAACCCCTGGGTGTACTGTGGGGAACCCCTGGGTGTACTGTGGGGAACCCCTGGGTGTACTGTGGGGAGCCTCTGGGGAACTCCTGGGTGTACTGTGGGGAGCCCCTGGGCATACTCTGGGGAACCCCTGGGCGTACTGTGGGGGGCCCCTGGGCGTACTGTGGAGGAGCCCCTGGGCGTACTGTGGGGAATTCCTGGGTGTACTGTGGGGAATTCCTGGGTGTACTGTGGGGAATTCCTGGGTGTACCGTGGGGAACCCCTGGGTGTACTGTGGGGAACCCCTGGGTGTACTGTGGGGAGCCCCTGGGTGTACTGTGGGGAGCCCCTGGGTGTACTGTGGGGAACCCCTGGGTGTACTGTGGGGAGCCTCTGGGGAACTCCTGGGTGTACTGTGGGGAGCCCCTGGGCATACTCTGGGGAACCCCTGGGCGTACTGTAGGGGGCCCCTGGGCGTACTGTGGAGCCCCTGGGCGTACTGTGGGGAATTCCTGGGTGTACTGTGGGGAATTCCTGGGTGTACTGTGGGGAATTCCTGGGTGTACTGTGGGGAACCCCTGGGTGTACTGTGGGGAACCCCTGGGTGTACTGTGGGGAACCCCTGGGTGTACTGTGGGGAACCCCTGGGTGTACTGTGGGGACCCCTGGGCATACTGTGGGGAACCCCTGGGCGTACTGTGGGGACCCCTGGGCGTACTGTGGGGAACCCCTGGGCGTACTGTGGGGACCCCTGGGCATACTGTGGGGAACCCCTGGGCGTACTGTGGGGAGCCTCTGGGAAACCCATGGGTGTACTGTGGGGAGCCCCTGGGTGTACTGTGGGGAGCCCCTGGGTGTACTGTGGGGAGCCTCTGAGGAACCCTTGGGTGTGCTGTGGGGAACCCCTGGGTGTACTGTGGGGAATCCCTGGGTGTACTGTGGGGAGCCCCTGGGTGTACTGTGGGGAGCCCCTGGGTGTACTGTGGGGAGCCCCTGGGTGTACTGTGGGGAGCCCCTGGGTGTACTGTGGGGAACCCCTGGGTGTACTGTGGGGAACCCCTGGGTGTACTGTGGGGAACCCCTGGGTGTACTGTGGGGAACCCCTGGGTGTACTGTGGGGAACCCCTGGGTGTACTGTGGGGAGCCCCTGGGTGTACTGTGGGGAGCCCCTGGGTGTACTGTGGGGAGCCCCTGGGTGTACTGTGGGGAACCCCTGGGTGTACTGTGGGGAACCCCTGGGTGTACTGTGGGGAACCCCTGGGTGTACTGTGGGGAGCCTCTGGGGAACTCCTGGGTGTACTGTGGGGAGCCCCTGGGCATACTCTGGGGAACCCCTGGGCGTACTGTGGGGGGCCCCTGGGCGTACTGTGGAGGAGCCCCTGGGCGTACTGTGGGGAATTCCTGGGTGTACTGTGGGGAATTCCTGGGTGTACTGTGGGGAATTCCTGGGTGTACCGTGGGGAACCCCTGGGTGTACTGTGGGGAACCCCTGGGTGTACTGTGGGGAGCCCCTGGGTGTACTGTGGGGAGCCCCTGGGTGTACTGTGGGGAGCCCCTGGGTGTACTGTGGGGAACCCCTGGGTGTACTGTGGGGAACCCCTGGGTGTACTGTGGGGAACCCCTGGGTGTACTGTGGGGAGCCTCTGGGGAACTCCTGGGTGTACTGTGGGGAGCCCCTGGGCATACTCTGGGGAACCCCTGGGCGTACTGTGGGGGGCCCCTGGGCGTACTGTGGAGGAGCCCCTGGGCGTACTGTGGGGAATTCCTGGGTGTACTGTGGGGAATTCCTGGGTGTACTGTGGGGAACCCCTGGGTGTACTGTGGGGAACCCCTGGGTGTACTGTGGGGAACCCCTGGGTGTACTGTGGGGAACCCCTGGGTGTACTGTGGGGACCCCTGGGCATACTGTGGGGAACCCCTGGGCGTACTGTGGGGAGCCTCTGGGAAACCCATGGGTGTACTGTGGGGAGCCCCTGGGTGTACTGTGGGGAGCCTCTGAGAACCCCCGGGTGTGCTGTGGGGAACCCCTGGGTGTACTGTGGAAAATCCCTGGGTGTACTGTGGGGAACCCCTGGGTGTACTGTGGGGAGCCCCTGGGTGTACTGTGGGGAGCCCCTGGGTGTACTGTGGGGAGCCCCTGGGTGTACTGTGGGGAACCCCTGGGTGTACTGTGGGGAACCCCTGGGTGTACTGAGGGGAACCCCTGGGTGTACTGTGGGGAGCCTCTGGGGAACTCCTGGGTGTACTGTGGGGAGTCCCTGGGCATACTCTGGGGAACCCCTGGGCGTACTGTGGGGAGCCCCTGGGCGTACTGTGGAGGAGCCCCTGGGCGTACTGTGGGGAATTCCTGGGTGTACTGTGGGGAATTCCTGGGTGTACTGTGGGGAACCCCTGGGTGTACTGTGGGGAACCCCTGGGTCTACTGTGGGGAACCCCTGGGTGTACTGTGGGAAACCCCTGGGTGTACTGTGGGAAACCCCTGGGTGTACTGTGGGGAACCCCTGGGTGTACTGTGGGAAACCCCTGGGTGTACTGTGGGGAACCCCTGGGTGTACTGTGGGGAACCCCTGGGTGTACTATGGGGAGCCTCTGGGGAACCCCTGGGTGTATTGTGGGGAGCCCCTAGGTGTACTGTGGGGAACCCCTTCGTGTTCTGTTGGGAGCCCCTGGGTGTACTGTGGGGAGCTCCTGGGTGTACTGTGGGGAACCCCTGGGTGTGCTGTGGGGAACCCCTGGGTGTGCTGTGGGGAACCCCTTCATGTACCCTGGGGAACCCCTCCGTGTACCCTGGGGAACCGCTCGGTGTACTCTGGGGAACCCCTGTGGGTAATCTGGTAAACCCTGGGAAACCCCTGTGTTCTTAGGAAACCAGTTTGAGAACATGTCTTGGAAGTAGGAACACATGATCATCTTTCTGCAACAGATTTTTACTGCTTAGTGGTATCTAATGAAGAAGGCATACGTGACACCCAACCCAACAGCCACTGTTTGCACTCTTTGCAGCTTATCAGTCGCAGTACGGTTTCCGTTCGTCGGACGGCTCGTATGGCCCCTACAGCTCGAGCGAGTACCCTCGTAGCGTGTTTCTGTCGGCCTTCGCCGTGAAGGCACTCACGGCGGCCAAGCCATACATCGGCAGCGTGGACTCGGAGATTCAGAGGAGCATCCAGTACGTCCTGCAGCAGAGGGACCGGAACAACGGCTGCTTCCAGACACTGTCGCCCAGCGGTCCCTTCAATGGAAACTACAAGGTGGGCATCGTCTGGTGGTAACCCAAGCGGGAGCTCTATGATAACTTGCAGAGTATGTGGGATAGTCCTGTAATGATAAATTTGGGACGCCCACAATTTAAAAAAAAAAAAAAAAACGAAGAAAAACAAAACAGAAAAACATTACAATTAATTTTGAATTGAAATGTGGGCAGCATAGCTGGTAGCGTTCAAACATCTCAAGCTCATGCAATGGTATGCAGCACTATCTCGCTCTCAAGTGAATGTGCACTTCTGCTTCATTGTCGTTGTGAGTTGAGCTTCATTTCAGGGGGAAGTCACTTTATTGATTCATTCATCTTTTCCCCCTTGGGGAATTCCCCAAAAATCATGTTGAATCGGTAACTTCTGATCTCAACCTCACGGCGGTTACGGTCAAGAATCAAGGCAACTGTTAACAACCGTTGACTCTAGAGTACCTCAATGTTGCTGGGCTGGCGGCCCTCCCAAAGTGAGGAGAACCCTGTTGTGTGCTAACCATACCAGCACCTTGTCTCAGACTCGTGTGTTTATGAGCTGTTTACACAGTTATAGAGCATTACCACTTGCGAGATGTAGATGAATAATTTTAGGGAGATGTAAATCCCGTGTTCAGTCAACTATGCATTACTTTTTGGTGATGCATCTAATGATAATGTGAACACATTGCACTGTTGACTGCATTTGCGATGCTTCGTTGCATTACAGAGTTGAGGAAGCCTCTGAGAACAGTTTATCTCGACCTCAACGAGTGCTTCATAATTTGAAATTTTCACGGGCACAAGCCGATCCACTGGAGTGTACAAGATCACCACATCACAGGAGGCAAAATGATGGCCACGGCCGAAAAGGCGGGACTTGCTCTCCAAAAAGGATGTCGCCGCTCGAGCAAGGCGCAGCCAGCAAGCGATACTGGGACACTAGTTTGCTCTACTGATGGCCAGCTCCTGGCTAGCTCAGTTGGTAGAGTGAACTGCTGGCCCTAGAAGCTCCCAGGCCCAAATCCCGGACCAGGTGGATATTTCTTGTGGTCACCAGTCACCAAAAGTGCACGATTTGCACTTTATTTCAGGTGGAAGTCAGTTTCGCAGTTGGTTTGCACGCGTTTAGGTTTCGTCGTTTACCCTTTCGTCCTCTCAATCTTCTTGTCCCCGGTGTATGGCGTCCCCCATCCCTTCTGTAGATCCAGATCAAGTTCTTGAAACATGGGGGTTGAGACCCATGGTCGACGTCTCTTGTTCCCCCTTTCTCAGAATGGAGCGGACCTGAGCCTGGTGGTAGCCAATTCTCTTCTCGAAGGAGGCTACAATGACAGCACAGTCTACAAGGCGGTGCTGGAGTGCGTGGATGCCGACAACCTGCCATCCAACCACACCTTGGCCCTTAACGCCTACTTCTCGGCGCTCATCGGGGAGGACGCCAGGGCCACCAACACTCTGAACAAGCTCCTTCAGCAGGCCGATAAGAATGGTGATTGTCGGCTGCTTTATGCCTTGTGTGCCAAAGTACTAATATTCATTAATTTAATGTTTTTGAGTAAGCCTTTGCTCTTGCATACACTCTCTCCCCTGACCCTTGCTTTCCGCTGTTTCCATTTTTGGAGGATATACCCTCCCGCATGACCAACGTTGCCAGCAGCTATCTTTGCATGTATTTTGCTTCGACAATTGTTTCTGGGCATCGGTAGTAACGAGCATAAAAAGCAATCTAAGCCCATACAATGGCGCAATGCCAATGTGTTCTGGCGGGCGAGGGCTCCGCGTTTTTACTACACGCCAAGCCCTAATTAAAACCCCATTGTTCCCTTTTTTTCTCCATACCAGAACATTTTCCAACTATTCAGGTCACGAGTGGGCTCCATTGAGGTTGGGGAATAACGTGCTGTTTTATTTTGTTCTACATATTTCGACACTGATTTTGACACTCGGTTTGACGACAATTTTGACACCGACCTTTCAGACACCGACTTTGACACCAACCTTTCTGACACCCAACTTTTGTGACACCGACCTTACCGACACCGACCTTACCGACACCGACCTTACCGACACCGACCTCACCGACACCGACCTCACCGACACCGACCTCACCGACACCGACCTCACCGACACCGACCTCACCGACACCGACCTCACTGACACCGACCTCACTGACACCGACCTCACTGACACCGACCTCACTGACACCGACCTCACTGACACCGACCTTTCTGATATTGACCTTTCTGACGCCAAAATTGATGTCGACTTTGACGCCAAAATTGAATATGTGGGGAAAGGACCTCCAAGAAAACAGCCCTGACCTCAACGAAATATAAACCCCAGAAATATAGAAGCCTACTTGACGTCATAGTATGTTGTGTTCTGTCCTTAGGCGGCCTGACTACCTGGGACGACGGAAAGACTGACACTGCTGGCTATGCCATCTTGACCATGAAGGCCCTTGGTCAAAACCTTGGGGCTGCTCAACCCATAGTGCGCTGGCTCATGCAGCAGGTCTTTGCACGATACTCCTTCTCCTACTCACAGGTCTGTCATATGCTCTTCTCTGCAAGTGGGATTTCTTGAAATGGTAGATTATACACAAGTCACTTGAAAAATTACTTCAGCTTGTTCATGCTGACCAAGACTGGAGAGGATCTGTTGTGAATTAGCTGGGCATATAGGTCGTTCTCGTGTGATGATTGTCATGTTGAAATATGACATTGTTGGGTTGGGTGACAAAAACTAAAGTGAATAGTTTAGCATAAATACAATATAGAAGTATAGGCTAGAACAAATTTATGGCAAATTGTTAGGCAATTGTGTTGCATGAATGAAATATTCTAGTATCACAAATGTTTAGCGAAACAAAGTTGCTTACGTCCATAGTGCTCTTCATCAGATGGTTTAAAGTGCATACACTTGATGGTTGTTCCGAGAATTAAGTGATACTACCACTAATTGGGCCAATAAACCTGGTGGTCTTCCAGAGTCCTTCAAAATTTTTTGTTTTCAGTGCACACAGGTGGCCGAGGCCCTCGCCTAACCCTCTGGTCACATGACCTCCCCGTTAACCAATCAGCATCAAGCACCTCACTCCTCTCCCACCCGTCAACCAATCAGTGTCGAGCCTCGCGGCTACACTTTTTTTATCTGGGCTTCATGAAATGCCGAATACCCAGCCAAAGAATGTTTCATGTTCAAAGTAAACATTGGCATGAACCCGTTGAACTCTGTGCCTTTCAGGCGGCAAAAAAAGCAATTTACTATTTTTCCCAACTCAGCTACGTCAGAGTTCAACATGGCCACGAAAACAGTGCTATGTGTGTGTGTATGACATCGCAGGTCATGGTGTCCCATGATATTGTGACGTTGTGGCATCCCGTGACATCAGGGTGTCATAATGACCTCACATTTCATTACCTTAAAGACCCCGTTAGGGGTATTACATGAGGGTTGCATATAAAAGCATTTTGAACAGACATCCATGTCGGAAGGTGGTTGACGACAGTCTCCATGAATACGGATGGACATGTGACGGCGGCGACATGGTGGGGAAGGCCGTTCCAGTCTGCTGCTGCTTGAGAAAGAAAGGACGCTAAAAAAGTCGTAGTGCGGGCACCTGGTAGGCGTTACTTGAAGTGGATGACCAATGGAGATATGCGTGATGGGGGGACAATGGAAGCTGCATGGTTGAGCAAGCTGTACTTGGGAAAGAGGGCCAGATTCTGCTTTTAAAGATGAAACGCTGATATTGTGTGAGTAGGCAGAAGGAATGAACCTTGTGGATCGATTTTGAACAGATTCAAGTTCATTACTAATATATGCTTGGTGAGGGTTCCAGATGGCAGACGCGTATTCGAGTTTTGATCTAACAAGTGATTTGTACGCAAGTAAACGTACATGCTTCGCGGCATGGCATAGATTACGTTTAAGAAATCCATGGACTCTGTTTGCAGCTGATATGACGTTGGTAGTATGCGCGCACCAAGAGAGATCGTTCGACAGTGTTACACCTAGGTATTTAAATGATGGTACAGATTCAGTTGTGACGCTAGCAATTGTATAGGAAAAAAGAAAGGGGTTACGGCGACGATGGAATGATGCAAGTTTACATTTGCTGGGATTAAGGGTCATTTGCCAACAGTCGGACCATTCTTGCACATGGTCACAGGTGTTAGTGATTGTACGATAAATAACGCAGTCATCCACAAACATACGAATGTGGCATGACACATGCGATGGTAAGTCATTTATGTAGAACAGGCGGGGACAGATCCTTGTGGCATGCCTGATATTACTGGGAGAGGGTTAAATGGGTGATTGTTAACAAAGACAAACTGAGAGCGGTTAGACAAATTCCTTGACCCATTGAACAATAGCAGTGTTTAGATTTAATTGGGAAAGTTTTAGTAGGAGGCGCTGGTGCGGTACTTTGTCGAATGTTTTGGCAAAATAAAAAAAAAGAACCGTGTCAGTTTGAAGGTTATGGTCAAGATTAGAATGCAAGTCATGAACGAAGAGTGCAAGTTGAGTTTCGCAAAAGAAGCCCTTACGAAACCCGTGCTGGGGGTGGTGGAAAAAGTCGATAGAGTCTAGGAAATGAATTATTTGAGTGTAGATGACGTGTTCCATGGCTTTGCAAGGGACGCTTGTTAAGGAAGGAGGTGGGGAATAAATATGAACTATCTTATTTCTAGAGATATCTGAACGAAATTTACAGGGTGTATTTATAGCACAGACATAATAGTAACTGCAAAGTTTCATGGAGCTGTGCATATTATTTCTCAAGTTACAAATATTTATCAAAATTGTCCATATGCATTCCTTATCCCAGGTCAGGAGAATTTGAAAAAGGTAGTAGCGACGTAAAATTTGTTATGATGACCCCTGGATAGGTTCCCCAGGGCATAACAGAGCCCTTTTTTTAAATTTCTTTGTTGAAAGATTTTAACGCAACTTTGAATTTTGTGTAATCAATGAAACCCACATTCATCAAATTTAATTTTTTTATTATATATTTTTAGCATAGTTTTCTAGAAAAAGGGCTCTGTTATGCCCTCACAAAGTTATTAGAGAACAGAATAAAAAAGACAGCACAAAAATCCATTCATCAGTTCCTGAGATATCGCTGGGACGAGCAGCCACGGCAGTGAAAAAATCCATTCTGAGAAAACAGCACTTGAAAGTTGCACACAGATTTTCAGCTTTAGAATGACCCTGCAGAATAGTCAGAAGTGTTCTTGCGCACTTTCTTCTTGTTCCGTCTTTCCAACTTGTCTTGATGTCGTTTGCTGGCCTTCTGCAGACGTAGGGCATCTTTCTCGGCAGCTCGTTGGAGGGCTAGATGGGCCGGCTGAAGTCCCACTGCAACCGATATTTCTGCAGTTGCCTTGTAGCAGCCGGCGTTGAACCTCAACACCGCTTCATGCAGTGCAGTTTCGACAGCGATCAGCGATGCATGCTGTTCCTTAGGCATCAAAGACCACAGGACAGAGTGGAAAGACTCGGATGCGTTCTGAGTCTTTGCTCCCAAGCAGCGTTGAAGCAGAAAAACCTGCGACAGGCGTTGGTAGACGGGCAGCATAGCTGCAGCGACGTAGGCTGGGAGTTTGTGCTTGTGCTGGGGCTCACCTTTTGCCTCGGCAACTCTATGACGGCACCACGATTGAGCTCCCTCCGGACAGAGTTCATGGTGAGGCTCCTGGTCAGTCGACGTGACATGATGGTAGGTGGCCATAACAGCACGCTGCATCGCTGCCACGTCCTTGGAGTTGTTTCGGAGGGCCCAACCATAGTAGTCGGTAAGCTTGTCGATAAGGGCCTTCGTCAACCTGCCCTTGCCGCTCAACGGCTTGTCGCTCTTCTGGACAAGGTTGCGCAGTGCCGTTCCCATTCTCTTCTGAACATGGTTCAAACACTCTTCCTTCACGATGGGGACTAGCCCGTAGACGTTCTCTTCTGTAAGGGCAGAGAAGGTCCTGCTGTCCCCGTCGGAGACAAGTGCTGTATACCGCAGGTCGTGCTTGGAGACAGAGCGCTTGAAGAGGGTCAGGGCCGCCTCGACCTCCATCCTCCCAGATTTGGCGTCCGTGTTTTTCTGGCAGACATGATGCATGTGCCAGCTGTCGTACCCTTGATCTCCAGGCTTGGGTCCTGTTTGGCACCCAAGGCACAGGTTGGATAAAACCACGGCGTCCAAGATGAGGCCTGTGTGGTATTCTATGACTGACCCGACTCCGATGTGAGATGTGTGCCCTCTCTTGTGCCATGTGCCGTCATACACCACGGTGACATCCTTGCAGAACCCCGGGTCCATCTTCTTACAGGCTGTCTTCACCGCGACAGCTGACTCGGCATAAAACTTTTCCACGCACAGGGCCTCTGGCTCTCTGAAGGTCTTCTTCAGGTGCTCTTGGAACGTTTTGTGGTGGAGACCTCTGTGGGAGACGTTCATAGCTGCCCAAAAGTCATTGAGAGCTGTCTGCCCCTTTCCTATCTGCTTGATTGCCATGATGGAGCGGATGTTGACTTCGAAGGCCCTCGAGTCTTGCTGGCGTGGCGAAGTCCAGGAACTTGCAATAATGCCGCAATGGGGGCATACAACCTCGAGTTTTGCTGCCAGTCCGAGTTTGATGCCTTCTTGGACAGTCAATCCAGTCCCCGAGCAATGCTTGCACACTGTGCAGCAGAGCAGGTTGCTCAAAACGTCGATCTGAACCAGGCAGAACTTCTCACCTTGGCTTGTAGCAGAGGCAGGCGTGGGATCGGGCAGCATGGCTTCAAACTTCCTCTGGGTTGCTGGCATAGCTCCAAGTTCGGCTTGAACGGTATTGCCGCGCGCAAGGCTGAGAAAGCAACGCTCGGTCACGGTCCTCCAGAAAGTTCCCGTTTATTCATGTACCGCACGTAACTTCTATCATTTATCCCTGCTTTTGTTTTCTAGAAAGTGCGTGTTCATTCTCGCCCCGATCACGCGACGCTCGAACCGCTTTCGCCGAATCTTCGAGATAGCGGCGCACTCTAGATAAGAGGCCGCCCGCGACCTTGTCGAGTCAGTCTCGCCCTAGTGCTCGATTCTGCTGACACGCCGACTTCGACGCCCGCGACGCTCTGCTTTCTTCTGTTTCCTTCTTTATTTTTTTGGCACAAGTTCGCCACATTAAACGTTTATTTCTTTCTGTTTATTTCCTGTTTTTTGTTTGGTCACCACCCGTGACATTTGGTGGAGGTGCGGGGTACCGCATGCCCCTGCCGCGTACCCCTCCGAGGGCCCACAGTGCAAGTCCGACGCCTAGCCCACGAAGAACCGACGAAAGCACTTCCGAGATCCGGTTCAGTCGTCGCACCCAAGGTCTACACCCGGAATTCGGACCTCTACCGCCCAAGACTAAGCAGCCAACGAGGCCAACGATGGACAGCCAGTCGTCCCAGAACCCGTCCACCGCCAGCGTCGTATACCTGCCCGTCGCACCCAAAACTCCGACGTCTTTCCACGGAGACACCCACGAGGACATCGAGGACTGGCTGCAACATTATGAACGTGT